ATGCCAGCTCAGTGGTCTATCGGTTAAGGCTTCGACTCGAGACTGGTAGGTCCTGGGTTCGAATCTCGCTCGCGAGAGCAGGTTCGTGGTTGCGCACTGCTGAGGAGTCCCATAATAGGACGAAACGGCCGTCCAGTGTTTCCAGGTTTTCCATGGTGGTCTAGCTTCAATTTACTCACGCTTTCAACCATGATAGATATTAAATCTCCACAAAACCCTTTCTGATAATTAATTAAATACTGAATCGCCATGTACGGTTTCATGACAATTTATGTTCAGTAACCCAAGGAACTTCTCATTTTCTGCAGCTCTGTCAAGGAATGTAAGTTAGGTTTCAGTAAGTTTTTTATGCAAATGAGTCAGGAGTACCAAACAAATTCAACACGTTGACTACATTTCTCGAAATTCATTAAAAGTCTTCCATCGAGCCCCTTCAACGATGACTAATGGTGACGTGGTATATTTGAGTCTATCGTTGGTTTCGTATAGGTGGTTTGAGCCTAATCAGATATACAGGGACGAAGCTCATGCTTTGTCTCGACCGTTACTGACCTTGAGCATTCCGGCTATATTTGATCGCACGCACGTGGCAGTTATTGGTCCTTCCCTATAAAATGTTTATTAATTATTATAAGATCAGGGTATTCGAGTTTATTGCTCGCAATTCACAGATAAATCTTCAGCACATGAGTTACTAGTGTACCAAACGACTGCCCATCAAGAATGGACCAGAAAAGAATTCGGACGCAACAGGTATTTTGTCTATTTCGTTTTTGTTGGATGAATAAATTTGATTCGTATTAGAACATGTTTCCATCTCAACTGTTTAATCAGAGGTCGGAGCAATCATAGTATTCTAATCGTGCTTCTCATTGTCTATCCCCTCAGTCACCTCAATTGTGAAGTTGGCAAATAACATCCGTGTTCCTAAGTTAAAATGCTCAAAAGATACTTGACCAACTAAAAAAGCCTTGGCTCAGATCTTATTCGCCATGTTTGTCACTAAAATAAATCCAAAAGAACTCCCAGTATACTTTTTCACCTTAACTTATATAATACATTAGCAAACTGAGTTACATAGTACCAGCGGACAATCGAGAATGTTAAACCTTAGTTCAAATAACATTAAGTAGGTAAATGTGAAAAATAGAACTATATCTCTCGAGTCTTAGATGGGTTGAGTTTAACTGTACTAAATTTTACGGAATTCCATAGAGTAAGAATGTAGAAGATTGGTAAAGAGAGAAAACATAACTCTTCAGATCAAGACTTCTTGGTAGCATTGTTAAGGGCTTCAAGTGGATAGTGTTGATTATTCTTTTTTGCACTCTACACAAGTTCCCGAAACAGGCTGTCATGGTACATTCTGTCGGTTTAAACAGTGTCGCAGTTCCGAATTTGTTTTATCTGGTACGTAAACCGGTCTTTGACTGTTTACTCTGTTAATAAAGCATATTGAGCTACGTTCACTCATGGATTACTCATCATTTCTTTCTTTGACTACGTAAAAATCAAAAAAAGCACGCCTATCAAAGGTAATTTTGACACTTGCTACTGACTGGTAGAATTTTGACGATATTTTTGAGAGGACTGAAAGTTACTTGGCAGTGACAACACGAATGTGAACTATGACCAAGAACCTTTATTGACCAAACAAAAAAGAATACTGTCCCTCTGGATTTTATACAGCTATCAACAAACTAAAAGTCTGTAGTGGTTATTGACGTCATATCAAATTACAAGTGGTACATTCTTGTACTCCCATCCCCACTAATCTTTGGAAATGTTTTCATTTGCACATTTTCCTCATAGCTCACCATCTTTTATCTAGGAATTAACACTTTATAGCACTGTAGGAGAAAACATTACATGGGCATTTAATCCACAGTCTGTCAACCTTAACTATTTGATTCGACTGTGAAGTTGAACTTTTAGGGTTAGATAAAGAAAGGAACGAAGTGGAACAACTAGTACTCGTTTGATTGTACGCACATACTATTAACTGGTGAGTATTGATCGGATTCCCGACCAACCAATTGGATTCTGTTACAATACTAAGACAAGTTACACATCCGCACTCCAGTATCTAACAATTGTCTGATTCGTAAGGCAAATGATAACAGTATTCCAACAGTAAGGGAGAGATCATAACACGACACGGTATTTAATAAAACCGTCGATTTAAGTGGACCTAAAATCAAGCTGGATAGAGAGTAGAATTTCTAACTAGAAAATTACTTCAGAATATCCATGTCTATGGAGAAAAGAATTCTGTTCTTTTCTGGCTCTCTATTACGGTTTGGGAGAAAAACAAAACGATAATACCGTTCTCCTGTGCTTGACTTATATCTAAAACCACAAGTTGGTCATCATTTTCTACTAAGTTATCATAATGCGAGCAAGATTTGGTTGCCAACCTACTACCTAGAGGGTGACAACTGACACAAAAATATTGAAGGGTGACTTGTGCCTGAAAGCACTATGTTTATGCTTCACACTTTCCAAATTAACACACAGGTTTCCCGCTAACTACTTATATCCTTCTATCTATTTTTTTGAACCTGTCAATAAGATCTTATTTTATCAACTGATTTAGAAAACCTTGGACCTTTCCATTACAAATGGCTGTACTTTTTCGGCCACTTCTGGATGATTGCTCTGCTATACGCCTCGTTTCTTCCGCCTTCGTTCACTTCCTTCAGATGTGATGTCAGACACACGGCTATGGAACTTTTATCCACAACTCGTACTACAATTCTGCGTTCGAGATTTCACACTTTCAATAAGGGCCTGATTTTATAATTTGTAGTAAAACTCCACTTTCTATTCCTGATGATCTGACACTCCATATACTTGGTGATAACAGTGATCTATTCCCACGTAACAATAAGTCAATTGAGGCGCCCTAGTTAAAAGTAAAAATTATAGTGCAGTTAACAACAGTAAACACTCATCACTTTGAAAAGTCTCTGTGTTACAAGATAGATCACCAGACATTGAACTGATTACCGTAAGTCGTTAAGATTAAGGATTACTAATAAAAACGGGCTAATTAATTATATGGAACGTCTGTCCGTCTCGTTTGTTTCGCTTCTCTTTTTGCATCCCAATAAATCATTTATGTGGTAAGACTGCATTTTTTCTCACTTTCTGCTAAAGAATCCCGATAGCCTGGCCATCACATTGATACAGGTGTGTGTGTCCTCAATATCATATACTGAATAAACTCAAAATTCTAGCTTTCATCTAAGCTCTTCTTTCATCCAGGCTATCAGAGTGGCATTTCAAAGAAATCTGGTTTGGGCGACTGGCAGTAATATCCAACTATCTAACCAACTATCAGATTAGGGCTCCAGCCTCACTGATACGTACCATGTTCTTGTAGATCGTCATCTGAACTTTAGTACTGTCTGATGCTTTTTCATATAAAAGTCTTTCATACAGCTAGTCAAACGAACTACAGATGACTTTGCGTCATCTGGTACCTGAGGGAAACTTTTAGGACGATCGTCAATTCAATTATTTGACCTCAACCTATTAGGATCAGTACTAATTTTAGCCCGTACGTAACACGTAGGGAATTAAAAAATGTTTCGGCCCTCGGTATCGCTCGTCAATTCTTGACTCACTATCCTCTCTTGAGGGGAGGAACACAGTATCCCCCTGGATCTTGTTAAAGTTGATAACGCGTTCACTGTCTTTAGACTTACTCGCAAAGTGGTCTTTCCTTTCAACAAGCCATTCTAGCATTTGAACGGTGACATGACGTTGGTGAACTAATCAGGCGTTTTAGTGGGCTGTAACGTCACAGCTGATTAAGGGATATTTATTAGGACCAGAGAAATCTAAACCAGAAGGCTCTGTAGACCATCAACTTTGGTGATCTATGTCGAATGCTTGAGGGCCTATTTGTGTTAGACGGGAACAGTATGATGAACAAGCTAACTTCGAAGTAACACCTCGCGGTCAGCATCTAACGTTAATCACCCTTTCGACGTATTAAAGTACTATGACTACTTTAAAGGCTGTATAACACAAAGGGAGTGATTACGTAAATATATTAGTAAGGATGAACATGGAGATGCTACTGAGACCACCACCACCAGTCCATGGCGTACGATTAAATGATACGCGTTTGCTGCCCTTGAATTTGACAGGGATCGATGATCCGTTTGGTAATCAGTGACCCAACTACTGTACAGTGACGTTTCACTGCCCTTACAACTCATTAAACTGTTTGCACGACCAGTCGTTCAGTGGTTAGTTCCAAAACGAGGTAATCGTGGTCCTCTGCGAATCAGTTATGAAATTTATTTACTGAATACAGGGAGGAAACACTGAAATATTTATGTGGGCTTTGACACAACCAGACGAAAGCAATTCCATAGGTTTATCTCAACTACACATCACGGAGGTCATATGGAACTCAAAATAAGGAAGATCTATTCGATCATCCAAAGCATAATCCCCTTGCTAAAAACATAAGAATGAAGCACATCAAAAAACTTTTACTTTACTTGGCCAAACCAATCAGTTACATGTGGTAGGAGACCAGGACAAATCAGTCTGATCAACTGAGGTTGAAGATGGAGCTAGAAATATCTTGACAACTTGTCAAATGAGTTGAGGAGTTCCTCAGTGATCGATAAAGTATAATATGAACCAATTTGAAAGCCTTCTTCTGAAAACCCATATCTACCCAGTTGAAGTAGGACGAAGTATTAGATATTAAGATGAGAGGCCAAGTGGTCAGATCTTTGGTTCTACTTTATTCAGAGAATGTCAAAACACAGAAAGGATGGGTGTTCATGTTCACATGTTTTGCAACTATTCTAATATATGGTTAGTACACTTCTCTGTATCTCCTGGGAGGTCTTCAAGTTTATCCACTGAGTAATGAACCTACTAATGACACGAGTGGTGTTTGTAAACCTTTCTGAATCATTAAGTAGAAGATTCCCTGTGAAAAAAACATGATGGATAGATGAAATTAACACTTACTTGTAGTCTGCCTTCTTGGAAAAACAAACCTCCATCTCAAATTGAAAGACTGGTATTGAGTATTAGACAGTTGAAGCGCATAACATGAAATGCTAAAGCAGCTGTTTGGTCACATAGATTCTAGAAGTTATGAGTGCATGAGTTGTTTTCTGTCTGTTCCATGGAATGTCTGATCATTTTTCATCAAAGCCTGATGATCATAATCTACCTGAACGTCCTAATCAAAGGTTTTCTGAAGCATCAGCAACTTTACACTCAAGCACACCTTCAAAACCGGTGGCGTCATGTCCACTCGGTCGGCCAATTCATAACCTTTCATTACGAAGAGGAAGCAGCATCAACACCAGTCATGATTTGAAGAGCCCTTCACATAGGTGGGCTGCCAGCGATCGATTGCGACTCATCCATTTTCTACAAGATATTCAGCTTGACCGAGCCTTAGATGTACTACCGGATGACTGCACCTATGAAGACCTACTTAAATGTACACTAGAAGAGCTCCGTTCCGTGTTTACTGGGTGCCTCGTGGAATCCGAAATAAATTCCCTTTATTCAGACCTACATTCTTATGCGTCCAGTGGATATACAACAGAGTCGCATTCACGTTCTGAGGAATGTCAACCTAGACGAGTAAGGCTGTAGGTTATACATTTTAATATTTGCATGTAACAAAACCAGCTGGACATTGCTGTATCTAATTGTTTGTCTAGTATTTTTACAGAAATCACATCACTGAAGGATATCATTAGAAGTGAAAAAACCAAAAATGCAATGGGAGACGTGCTTAAGAAGACTGCGTGCAGCATAAGACAACACTTACTTAGGTCTTCCTGTTATGTTTTTCAACCTACAAATACTATGCCAATCGTCATCAGATTGAATAGATAGCTCAGTAGTATATGTACCGTATCCTAGCTCCCGTAACTAAATAAAAACTATGTGAATAACCTCCTTTTACCTGCCGGTAACTTATTGTCCAACTTATATACCATTTAATCGATGCTTATTCAAACTGCGGCTTGTTTCAAAGTTAACTATCACCGGGTGCGGTCTCGTTTAGTTTTGTCTCATACAATATGATAGTACACTGTTCTACGGGATAACCAATGCTTAGTGGACATTTAAATGTTTAACCTTCCAAACGACATGGGTCCTGTACTTCGTTAACTGATGTCAGTTCGGGTTGGTGGCGTGGGTGCAATTGAGTATTGTACCCCTTTCTTTTCCGATTTTTTAATTAAAGTTTGAACCTTTTCATCACTTCTCGCAAATTGTGTTCTAAATTGTGGAAGAATTTTCAGCTTATCTAGTACATTTTTCTGGTTTGTGTATTTCAAACAGGCTAAAGAACCTGGGCTTCGTCTACTAGTCTTTTCATGTTGGAATTATCACATCAATTGGGAGTTCATTAATATCTTGTGTACCATATAAATGCATTATAGAATTCGTAGGTGGGTTCTTCTCGACACACTCTGTTGGCGAATTTGTAGTGATCTCAAAATTCTGGCGTCATTTGTTTATGTTTAGCTACATATTACCGTTGCCTTGTGATCAGTGTATATTGTTGTAAATGTTGTTAGCTTAAGTATTGTTTTGAAGTTGGTAGTTTTTTCAGCTCATCAGTTGTAATTCCTTAGTTTAAACAAACTGTTTTCCCTTTATTTCAGTGTTCCGAAACCTGTGCATCTGATCAGGTTAAGCAAACGTCCACAGGTGCCCATCGTCGTTCTCGTCTGCTTCTTGGTTCATTTTCGTGTGCATCTTCAGAACCCCATTCAGATTGCGCGAAAACTAAGTCTAATGCAACGAGTTGGGGAACAGCGGGAGGAGAGACGTCTATTGGTGAATGCAGTGTAATCAAAATGGATGCAGAACAACCTAAAACTGTAAAACGGGCATCATCTCTTAGCTCAGGTGATATACCACAAATCCAACCAAACTACCGCCCATCTTCCCTGTCCATATCATCAGCTTTAACTGATAGCCACTCATTATCTCTACAGGAAGATGGTAATGTAAATTCCATTAGTTTTTCGGGACCGTGTTCAACCTATACTGGCCTGACAACCTCGGAGTTTGGGAAAGATTTACAATCACAAAGTGTTTGTGATAATCAGTTCAAAGACCACTCGATAGCGAATTCTACTCTACCAGTTTCTTGTAAAGTACAAAAACAACAAGCAAATACAAACCCATGTTCCGTAATTTCCAGTGCATCATATTCAATTCCCATTTGTCAACAAGTCAGTAATGAATTACAGTTGTCTCCATACTTCTCAAGCCGCTTATCAAGTTATGATGGTTAGTTTTACTGTCCATATTACTCTTTCTATTTCCATCACGTCTTTTTAAGGTGGGTTATGTTCCAAATAAAATTCATCTGTGAAATGTTGTAGTTTTTCCGACTAATTTACTGCTTAAACATAATTTGTCGACAACCTCATACTATGATATTTAACAGGAAGCTTGGTGCGTGGGTTGTACTGCTATCTTCAAAGAACTTATGTATGTGCTTAAAACTGGGTGCAGTCCAAAGGTCTTTTATTTACTTTCAACGTTCTACATTTTTATTTATTTATTTGGACACCATTATTGGTACAAGGGGGCACCAGATATGTATGCACCACACAAATAAAATGAAATGACATTTACTGAAAATACTGTTATACATAAAGGAGCTTTTAAAGGTTTTTATTATAAAGTCTATTCTTTGTTTCATAGTATACCGACTAATTGACGTGTATTTTTATCCCCAGGACATTCCATTCCAAGTACTCTCCTACGAATAAAAGGTAGCTTCATTGGTCAGTCTGCACCGAACTTGCTGTACTATAAGGTAATTTTTCTCATTACTTATCGATATGATGTGAAAACTAATTTTACTGAAGTAAATGTGGTATAATTGCTTCATAGATATTGGTTGTCATTAAGGATACAGTGTTGTATTACAAACATAGGTAGTGGACCGAATAAATAGTAACTTTGTAAACCTCCCCTAAGAAAGTTAGGGGCGGCTAAACCACAACGTGGCATCAGAGCTTGAAGTCACTAACTTCTAGTGTGAGGCATGTTGGTAGATGCAGACTACTTGGTTGGGGTCCGCGTGACCATCGTAACCAATGGTTGGAGACTCTAGGTGACATGGCTCAGGATCGATCACAATGGCGCAGGTGTATACACTCCATCTTCCTTGAAACCCTGGGATTAAAACTGCTTCATATATGTCTTTCCTCCTATACTATATACTTACATGCAACCTTTCTTTTATATATTATCACCACTAAATTAAGTACTTCTATGAATTCGGTGTTCATCTTGTGCTAACGAGGTGTGGAAACTTGGACTTATGTATATATGTGTCTTGTCCTACGTTGTAGCGGACTGACTGACTGTACACTTAAATAGACAGGGTAGGTTTTAGTATAGGGTCAAGAGGATTACTTTGATAGAAACGTCTTTGGGTGACTCCCACTTTTTTCTGCCAAAGGGAGTACAATGAAAAAATCTGCTCAGCAAATAGTTGAATGCTTCTACTGAATTATTTCATATAAGTCTAAGATCATACAGAAAATCAGTCGTTCAAAAACCTGAGACTTTAAACAAGATAAGCTGCTGAGTGGGCTGGAAAAGAGAAGCATATACGGAGTAAATTCGTAACGGAATAGGTTGAACCAATTTAAAGTAAACTCAGTTTTACTGTAGCTAAGTTTTATCATGTTTTAGAATATTGACGATTCCCATTGTGAAAATTAGAACAATACATGTAAGCGAAAACAATATTGTTCGCTTACATGTGTTGTTCTAATTTATCGTGTTTCTCATGTTAACGGGCATGATGTCAACCTTGTAAAAATAGTTTAACTCTTCTTAAGCTTAGTTCAAACTAGTATACCAAATCCCTGAGTGGAATAAATATTAGCCATTTTCTTATTTTCCAATTATAGTAGAAGGTAACCTCGTTATTCAACATCAATGATAATTAACTACAATTATTGTCTGCTATCCTCTATTTTTTCTATAATTCTCCGGATTTTTACTTACAAATAAAGCGACAAGAACAAGGTGTGCAGAATAACATGGATTCACTATATTTTAAGGTGTCTCATCATCTGCCAGTGGCGTAACATTCACATAAGTTATATTATTAATAGCAGAATTTATTAAAATTTATCAAAGGATTAGAATATATGAAATTTTTTATTTATGCTTTTTAGCGTGATCCCAATTATAATCAATTCGTACACTGTAGAAACTCATATCAAAATGTCTCGTCAGCTTATACTCCACCTTCAAGTTTAAAAAGCCCTGAATCATTCATCTGTTCAAAGGCTCCTAATAGCCCGAAGTATGAAGCGATTGTTAGACAGTCTAAAGTTTCTACCAATCAATCACTACTCGGATCCACCTCGGGAGCACTTAAGAACATTGATGAAAATACCCAAACACTTACATCACTTCCTTTTCATACTCAGCGTCGGAGTATGTTAGTAAGCGGTTTGGACAGCCTCAGTGGTAGTAGTGGTTGCATGGCTGATCGAAGCATGTCCAGTCCTGCTCCTTCCAATGAACCTGATAGTCCAGTTTTTTCTACTGCTTCTCTTGCTCATAGTGATATACCGTACTTTTTATCACCAAAAAACAGTGTTGTTGCATATGAGCCACCACAATTAACTAGATCTTCTGATCTCTCTGGTGAAAATTCAAAAACAGAAATGCCATGTACTCACCAAAGTAGTAGTAAACTACAAGACAAAACTACACCACAGCTAAAAAAACCCCAAGCAAACTGCAAAGCCTTTGCAAGTAAAAATATCGGTTAGTAGCTTTTGTTTACTTAATCGCATCATATTTATACGGTTATTTCTGGCTATCGGACTCTACCAAATACTTTTTATATCATAAATTCATAAAAATATTGTGATAGTCATTTTAGTTAGTTGTATGTTTATTTTTTGTCCATTCAGTTAGTGAGTTAGAGCAACATGATTCAAAAAAGCTTATTTATTATAATTTTTAGTTAATTAATTCTGAAATAGTTTGTAGTGTTATGACTTTACTCTAATATGTTAACACCTTTCAGTTTTATATTTGAAAACAGATTTGGATTTTAGTGGTTAAATTCTTGTTTGCTTTCTCAGATTTTGACTCCAGGATTTCAGAACTGTTGATTGGAGCTGATGTATAACTCTATAACTAATTAAATATTAAGTATCTCACGAGTTTACTTCAAAAAGGTTGTTGTTTGCGTCATTTTGCCTCTTAGTTTGTGGATGCTTACCATTTTCTAGGCTGTTAAGTGATATTCTTTATGTTACGTCCAGCCGAATTCCGTTTACTCTTTGAGGATTAAAAATAGTCAATCTGCAAAGACAATATACGAAATTATAAAATCCTTGATCAATTTTGAAAATGATTAAAATATTTCTAAATGTGTTATCACTACCTTCAGCAGTACACGTAAAGATACAACATAAAATGATTCAATGAAGTAAGCATCTAAGTTATTTACTTTTGAAGCTAGCACACTGAATAATTACTATCGTGTCACTAATAATATTCTCGAGTCAAATGCTCGGTTGACTCACCACTACGATTTTATCAATCTCACCATTAAACCAAAACTCATTTCAGTCTTGACTGATGCATTTCTCCACTCTTGACAGTTAATTTGTTCAAATCTGCCACCAGCTAAAGGTAAAAGATGCCCTCATGATATCTTACTGTAATAAATTGAATTTCACTGTTTCGAATTTCAGATACTATTCCTCTTCAAGGGTCGTGTGATGCATCTTTGTTTAATGAGAAACGGAGTTTCATCCCACGCTTGCATTTGGGGAGAAAACAGTGAGTTTAGTCAATGCCCAATAATTGTATAAGTTATAAAACATGTTCCTTAGACATTTTCTTAATTCAGCACCTTTCTTTACTCCTTCCAGGTGTCGGTAATTAGTGGACGCTGTGGGAGCCATCTAGATAATATTCAAGATACATGCCCAAGACACCGATGTCAGTGTTCTAAAGGGGTGTTTTACTCAATTATCGTCACTTATGATGTGCAGTGTCCAAAAATCTGATAATGATGCACAACGTGCTACGCGCTCACTTCCCATATGACCACTTGAGCGAGAACACAATAGTGGACATGAAAGAGTATTGGGCTGCCGGATAAAAGGCACATACTCATGTCTATGTATACAACTCTACCCCTTTGAAAATCAATCCATTTCTTAGCCAGCAATATTCACTTGTCCTATAGGTCACTTCTGATTGCCGTCGATTGACTTCATTTGGCTACTTCTGATTGGCTTATCATACCAGTCAATGTAACCGAACATATTGGCGAACGTCGGAATCACTGATATGGTGTCGTTACTGGGTGTCAGTGATCCTTCGAACGTAAAAATGGTCGAACACAGTCGCCAAACACGTTTAACTCAGTGGGGTCAATTTTCACAAACAGAGAAAAACTGCCCCCACCGACTCGTTGTAACTCCGATCTCTTACAGCTAGACCAACATCACGGTGAATCCAAAGTTGACTCGGATTAGCATAAGTTGTTCTGATTTTCATTATACGTAGATTTATTCCATCTGTCACACTACCTCCAGTGCTCACAAAACTACCCAGGCATACAGTCAGTCAGTCAGTCAGTCACAACGTAGAACTTCGTACGTACGTACATCAGTTCGAGTTGCCATACCACATTAGCACACAGATGCAGTTGTCGATTCAAATCCCATAGTGGAAGAAGTAGTAAGAGTATAATCAGAAATCCAAAAGATTAGGGTTTGAAGAAATTATTGAAGGAGTATAGTACAGTGAAATATATTTGGAAAGAGAAAAAGATAAAGACATGAGAAATTCAGAAGATTAGAATTTGGTAGAACACAAAGAGTGGATGCACCTTCGCCATTGCAAACGATTTTGAGCCATGTCATTCAAGGCCTCTAACCATCGGTTGCTGTCATCTCGCGGATCCCAACCAGGTAGTCTACACCTACCAACATGGCCCAGACCACTTGTCAGTGACTTCATTGATTTGTGCCACGTTTTGGTCTGGCCACCCCTAGCTTTCTTCCAACCTACTCCTACACCATGAAACATTGCACGTCGGGGCAGTCGGTGGTCGGGCATACGTAACACATGTCCCAGCCATCTCAACTGATGAAGTTTCACTACTTCATCAATCGATTTGCCATCCCTACCTAGTACTCGTTTCCTAACAACTGCATTACTTACCCGGTGGTCCCAGGATATACGAGCAATGCTTCGAAGACACCTATGATCGAACACTAGTAGCCTACGAATATCCTCTACTCTTACCGGCCATGTTTCACTTCCATAAAGTAGGACGGAACGGACTGCTGCACAGTAAACCCGTCCTTTGGTTGCTAGACGGATATCTCGCCTACGCCACAAATGATGCAAGTTGGCGAAAGCTAGACGAGCCTTCTGTATCCGTGCTGAGATTTCGTCAAACACCAGACCACAAGGGCTGATGAGACTCCCAAGATAAGTGAAGTGGTCTACACGCTCAACTACTTCACTCCCTATCATTAGTTCAGGTGTCGCTGCAACCCAATCCTGAAGTAACATTTTGCACTTCGAGGGAGAGAATCGCATCCCGAACATGCCTGCATTGTTGCTTATGGTGGTCAGAAGACTCTGCATTTTGTCAGCGTCTTCACCGAGTAAAACTATGTCGTCGGCGTATTCTAAGTCAACAAGTGAGCCTCCCGGTAAGAGTTCAACTCCTGGAGGCTTAGCTGATGAAAGTGCTGTCTCTAAAAGTATGTCAATGACAAAGTTAAACAAAAATGGGGAGAGTGGACAGCCCTGACGAACGCCACTTGTGGTAATCAGTTCTGATGACAGTTCGCCATAGGCTCTAACTCGACCAGTTGTGTTCGAGTAGAGAGCCTTTATGAGGTTAATGTACTTCTTTGGTACTCCTTTCAGTGACAAACATTGCCATAGAACCTCACGATCAACGGAGTCAAATGCCGCCTTAAGGTCAAGAAATACTACTATTGTGGGACGTCTGAATTTGTGTCTATGTTCTAGAACCTGACGTAGGGTGAATATCTGGTCTATGCAACCACGTCCAGGTCGAAAACCAGCCTGGTTTTCTCTAGTCTGCTCTTCACGAGCTTTGGTTAGGCGACCTAGTATTATTGAAGCTAATATTTTAGACACTATATTAGTCAAACTGATCCCTCTGTGATTGTCACAAGAGGACTTTTGTCCTTTCTTATAAACTGGCACAATCAGTGATTGGGACCAGTCAGATGGAATTACGTCCAGTTCCCAGATTCTACCTAAGACCTCAGTCAATCTCACTGCTAGTACTGGACCACCATCCTTAAAAATCTCAGGGGTCAACCTGTCAGGGCCTGCTGCTCTCCCTCGCTTCAGATTTCCTATAGCTTTTTCAACCTCACAGAGGGTTGGAGGACTTACGTCAATTTGCCATTCAGGACGACTGGGGATCGTGGGTAATTGAAGCGTGGCTGAAGGCCAGTTGAACTGATCACTAAAGTGTTCTGCCCATCGATCCAATCTCCTGGATTGAGAATGAATAATATGCCCATCTCTATCTGAGATGGTTTCACTGATATTCGGGTTCCTAATGCCGGTTTCTTTAACGAGTCTGAATAGCTGCCTACTGTTACCTATTGCCGCTGCCTTTTCCATCTCTCTTGCTTTCCCTACCCACCACTGTTCACGATCATTACGTAGGCTTCTTATAAGCCTGCGCTTAAGTTGACTCCGCTCTTCGTTATGCTCAGAGCCAGGTGGGATGAGTTTACGAGCATCTATCAGTGCGGAAGATGCTGCCGAGATCCATTGTTTCTCCCTAACGTTATGGTTTACCTTACTAGCGGATATCACTGCTGTTTCCACAGCTTTTCGGATGTCATTCCACGCTGCCTCGGGGTGGACACAACTTACATGGCTGCCTAACTGTTTTTCTAGTTGTTCCTGATATATATTCTTAGCTTGCCTATCAAACAAACCTTTCGATTAGTTATAACGGATTTTCACAAGAGTAACTGCATGCACATACTGTTGGGAATCTTGCAGAAGTGCTCTGTATTTATGTGTGAAGTAAATTCCATGCCTACGGACGCTGACCTTTAACTGATTTGATACTATTTGTGTACCCTTTTTATCACTACACAGCAAGGCGATGTCATCCGGATACTCGAGATCGAAATTTTTTCCAGGCAATAAATCTACACCACCCCACGTGCTCCCTTCAGAGCTGTTTCCAGTATGCGGTGGGTGGTAAGTTGAAAAAGAGTGGTGAGATTGGGCAGCCCTGCGTAACCTCACTTCTGGACCGGGACAATGAGGAGATTTAGTTACATGCATAGGCAGAGATTACGAAGAGACATTGCTTCCCATATCAGTTTCTTCTTCCTTCCAATCGATTAGGGTCACCTCTGCTCTAGAACTCAGTGCTACACCAACTTTAGTCACTCTGACGGTTTTCACAGAGCTTCTGCATAAACCCACGTGAAACAAACTTTTCTCATCTACAGATAAACGGATTCGTAGTGCTAAAGTCTTGAATGCAGGTCTCGGAGGTACTGCAAGTTTCGATATCAGAGCTTTGCAAAAGCTTAGCCAAACCTGTTTATTTTTGAGGAAGGCCAGGTTAAGTAGCACATTTGGCTTCAGGAAAGCTGACTCAGATTTCTCATTCTATGAAAGCATTCCTAAATCTAGTTATTCAGCGACTTGAGACTGTTTTAACTAAACAGAATTTCCAACAGATATTACCTGCTGAATGAGTTGTAGGATAAATATGAGCACAGTATAAATACGATGCAGATTAGAAAAATGAGGCAATATAAAACAAATACGTTTAAATTAAATAGAAAGTTATTACCGTATGAACTGGTAGTGAATCAGACTAAGTATGTTACTTTCTTCACAATTATCAACTATCATAGTTGCTCACGGTCTGCGATACTACCACGCAACCTAAACTAAGTAGGTGGTTTACAGATAGTATCGCTCCCGGAGCCTATGACTTGAGTGCCTAATCTAAAAGGTTTGTGCCCGATCGTTGCTGCTACCTTGACGTGGTGGTCGGGCTTGCCTATCGTGATGAAGCAATCGAGCTATGCTGGCTGGAACAGTCGTTCCTCGAGGTCCTACCATGCCAGACAGGTCGGTTGAAGAGCGGTGAGACTAAAAGCAGCAAACCCAAGGTCCGAAGGCGAAGTCGTACTGCTGACTGTACAGAGGTGTGACGGCAGTAAGGTGTTTCCTTCAGACAACCAGCATGACAGCGATGCTGCCTTCCCACAAGGAGGGGTGGGGCTAGAAAAGGTCGGCCCTAAAAATGCACACCTCGCCTTATCCCACGGATTTCCGTCTCCGGCGGTAAGGTTTTTTTTTGAAGAACGGAGTTAACACAAAAACTACCCACAAAAAGGTCGTGTGTGACCGACCTCAAGCAGTTGTCCCTTGGGCACTGCGGTCACGCTCTCAGGTCATTAAGACCACTTCTAACTCGATTTCCTTTTCAGGTACCTCTAGAAGAAACCTTCCACGGTGTGGGCAACCGGGAAGTGATAACTGCCCTCATACCTCTAACAGCACTCAAGACCACTGTATTCATAATCAATCTTCTTCTTCAATTGCTACTATTCCCTCTACCTTGACTTTCAACACTAAGCTTCCTCTCTCGGTTTCCTCCTCAAGTGTCACCATGGCCAACGATTCTAGTGCGCGAAACGCTGTCCCAGGTCTACTTAAACCTCGCTCCAAACTACACATTGGAGCCTTCAACGTACGTACCCTATGCCAAATCGGTCAACAGGCCTCCTTAGCTAAAACCCTAGAATCTCGTACCATTGATGTATGCTGTGTCTCCGAAACACGCATACAGGATCCCAGTGTGGTCATTCACTTGACCTCACCTCGCCAAAATGGACAGCCAACGAAATACACCCTCCGTATATCTGGCGACCCGTTGGCTAGTTCTCGCGGACTTGCAGGTGTAGGCATAGCACTAAGTACAAGGGCAGAACAGGCACTACTAGAATGGATCCCCGTTAACAGTCGCCTGTGTGCTGTCCGGCTAAATGGCTCCATAAGAACTCAGAAGGATAGGGACACACGTCGTTGCCTTTTCGTCGTTTCTGCCTACGCTCCCACTGACTGCAGCCATGATGAAGTAAAAGATGACTTTTACAGAAAACTCTCTGAGCTTCTTCAGAAAGCTAAGCGCTCAGACATAGTATTCGTAGCGGGTGACTTTAATGCCCAGGTAGGCAGCTTAAATCAAACAGAAAGACATTTAGGTGGGTGTTTTAGTATTCCGGCTCAACGAACCGATAATGGTGATCGTCTGTTGCAACTATGCTCAGACAATCGTTTATTTTTAGCAAGCACTAATTTTAAACATAAGGAGAGACATCGTCTAACATGGCGACCACCTGCACCAAACCAACGATGGACTCAAATAGACCATATTGTCATCAGTCATCGTTGGAGAGGCTCAATAGAAGATTGTCGCTCGTATTGGAATACTTGTTTAGACTCTGATCACGCTTTAATACGAGCGCGCATTTGTCTGCGCCTCAATGGACGCAGGAAAAGTACACTAAGAAGACCCATTAGGATTGAACTGGAGGACGAGAAAGCCAAATGCGAATTCCAGAAACAACTGAGTTCACATCTAGGCAGTTCTGTAAACGAGACTGACCCAGATGCTGCTTGGAAAGACACACGAACAGCTGTGGAAACGGCAGTAACATCTATTAGTCATTTAAACCATAGGGCTCCAAAAAACCAGTGGATTTCCTCTAAGTCTATTTCACTGATGGATTCGCGTAAACTTATCCCATCAGGCTCTGAACACGACGAAGAACGTAAACAAATTAGATCTAGGTTAACTAAAAGCCTAAGGAACGATCGTGAGCAGTGGTGGGCAACGAAAGCAAAAGAGATGGAAAAGGCAGCGGCTGTAGGGAAAACCAGGCAACTATTCAGACTAATAAAAGAAACCGGAATTGAGAAGTCAAGTGTGAGTGAGACAATCTCCGAAAAAGACGGAACCCTTATCTGCTCTCAACGCAAACGTTTAGAACGATGGGCGGAACACTTTAAGGAGCAGTTTAGCTGGCCTTCAGCTACTGCACAACTACGCACTATACCCAGAAAACCTGAATGGAACATTGAAGTAGGCCCCCCGACCCTACTTGAAGTTCAAAAGGCTATAGGTAATCTGAAACGAGGAAGAGCAGCTGGTCCAGATGGATTGGTTCCAGAGGTTTTTAAATACGGTGGTCCAATTTTAGCGATTAGGTTGACTAATATTCTGGCTAAAATCTGAGAGACGGATGTAATCCCATCCGACTGGTCACAATCACTGATTGTCCCAATATATAAAAAGGGGTCAAAATCATCCTGCGATAACCATAGAGGGATTAGTCTGACTAACATAGCATCTAAAATACTAGCCTCAATAATTATCGGGCGCCTAACTAAGACTCGTGAACTGCAAACACGAGAAAATCAGGCTGGCTTCAGACCTGGTCGTGGCTGTATCGACCACATATTCACCATTCGTCAAGTTTTAGAGCACAGACACGCTTATCGGCGTCCGACAATGATAGTTTTTCTTGACTTGAAAGCAGCATTTGACTCTGTAGACCGAGAGGTTCTGTGGCAGTGTCTGTCATTGAAAGGTGTACCTGAGAAGTACATAAACCTTTTGAAGGCTCTTTACTCGAACACTATTAGTCGAGTGAGAGCTTATGGCGAACTGTCATATGATTTTACAACCTCAAGTGGTGTCCGTCAAGGCTGTCCACTATCCCCATTTTTGTTTAACTTCATTATAGACCTGTTGCTGGAAATAACACTCTCATCGACTGAATTTTCAGGAATTGATCTCCTACCAGGGGGACCACTAAGCGACTTAGAATACGCAGATGACATAGTCCTGTTTGGTGAAGACGCTGGCAAAATGCAGAGTCTTCTGTTGGAACTCAGTAATAATGCCAGGATGTTTGGGATGCGTTTCTCCCCATCCAAATGTAAATTGTTACTCCAGGACTGGCCTGCGTCAACACTCGAACTAAGGATAGGGAGTGAAGTAGTCGAACGCGTCGACAACTTCACTTATCTTGGAAGTCTGATCAGCCCTAATGGGTTGGTGTCTGACGAAATCTAAGCACGGATTCGAAAAGCTCGTTTGGCTTTTGCCAACTTACGTCACCTATGGCGAAGACGAGATATCCGTCTGTCAATTAAAGGACGAGTATACTACGCAGCAGTTCGCTCTGTTCTACTTTACGGTTGTGAAACATGGCCATTAAGAGTAGAAGATACTCGTAGGTTACTAGTATTTGACCACAGATGCCTTAGAAATATTACACGCATCTGCTGGGATCACCGGGTAAGTAATAGTGAGGTTAGACGCAGGGTATTAGGGAACGATGGTAAATCAGTTGATGAGGTGATGAATCTTCATCGACTGAGATGGTTGGGCCATGTGTTACGTATGCCTGAACACCGATTACCACGATGCGCTATGATGACTAGTATTGGGGACGTTTGGAAGAGAGTTAGGGGTGGCCAAACCAAAACATGGCATCAGTGTTTGAAGTCACTAACTTCTAGCCTGAGCCATGTTGGCAGATGCAGACTACCTGGTTGGGGTCCGCGTGACTATCGTAACCAATGGTTGGAGACTCTAGGTGACATGGCTCAGGATCGATCACAATGGCGCAGGTGTATACACTCCATCTTCCTTGAAACCCTGGGATTAAAACTGCTTCATATATGTCTTTCCTCCTATACTATATACTTACATGCAACCTTTCTTTTATATATTATCACCACTAAATTAAGTACTTCTATGAATTCGGTGTTCATCTTGTGCTAACGAGGTATGGCAACTTGGACCGATGCATATATGTGCCTGGTCCTACGTTGTAGCTGACTGACTGACTGAAAAGGTTTGTGCGTCGTTTGTTCCTTCCCGACTCTGAATCCCATGTACGTCACTGATATAGAGCCAGGATTTTTGAACCTTCTAATTGATTGCCAACCTGACAGTAATATTTGTCATGCTACGTATACAGATGTGAAGGATCCCATACAAATAAAATTCTAGAGGCCATAAGTTTACAGAGAGACCATTTAACTTTTTTGTATTTGCCGTACATGTGAGGAAATGTTCGTACTTTATTAATGTTCTGTTGCAAAAACTAAATGCCTGAATTATGAGTTTTTGAAAATATGACCGTTTTTCGAAGTCCTTTTAGATATACTTACTGAAAGATAATTAAAAGTAGTCACATTTTATTTGGCATCCTTATTCTTTTCTTTTAGTACTCTAGATCGTCGTCGTTGGTCATTAGCCTCATTACCTTCGTCTGGTTATGGTACAAATACATCGGAAAGTGGCAGTCATTTGTCTGTATGTTACTTTGTTTTATACATACAATTACTATAATTTCTAATTTGATTGATATTTAGGAAACATATTCCAGATTAAACTTGGATTGAATTAAATTTTGTTGATATAAGTCTTTAATTGTTGATTTAAACGCTTTCGTCATAAACTGATACTCATGTCTAGCTTGATAGGAAACATTTCCCAGATAGAATTTAGGCCTACATTGGATTGTGCATGTCTACGTTCTGATATTCTGGTATTTAATTACCCCACCTGTTGGATGAATAAAATTTTTTTATCGACGAACTCACACTGTTGCCCAAATTGTTAGTTAGATGAAATAGAAATATGATCGTTAGATTGTATTTTGCCAAATGACTGTCATCTTGAAATACACGTTCGTATTTTTCCAAACTTTTTGATTTAAATACTCAGCATCCTTAGCTAATTATTTTTAAAAAAATGTGTGATTACTACCTATATCATTTCATATTTTAATAGCTCTCTTAACATGTAATTTGCGAATTTTTACCTAAGATTTTCCAAACTAGATTTTTATATGACAGTGCATTTGTTGTAATTTTTTCACTACATAATGTTTGGAACTTAGTACTCTATAATAAAAATTTTCAGTGATCACTTTTCTATTTTCTGGTTACTATTCCTCGAAAAAAGCTCACAGGGGCCCTGAAAACGCTGGGAAACATTTTATTCAACCGTCATTGAATGGAAGTTTTTCATAAACATGTAGAAAGTGGACAGTCACATGTCACATTTCTGATTGGATGATTACCTATCCTGTTACTATGTTTACTAAGGTTCCAAAACCTTCCGGAAGCCCAAGGTCACCTGAAATGCCACAAATACCCTCAATTTTCTGTACATAAACTAACCTTGGAGTGAAGCGTTCTCTCCATATTTTTCGCCTTTTCTTTCGTGTTCAAGTTGTCGTGTAGATCTAGCCTGAAGGTTATTAAAATAGCTTAGAGACAGACGCAAGCATTCAGTCAGAATATTTATCAATTTTTAAGGATATTAGTCCTTGAAATGGATATTCATCATATTGAAGTTGGTTGTAAGTATAAATTTTCTTGCTAATTGAAATTGTTTCATCTGGTCTTCACTGCTAGTCCAAAAATTACTTCTTGAAATTCCTACTATCCTAATCTGTTTAGAAGGTGGATAAACTCGTGAGAAAACTAGTCTTTGTGTTCCCATAGATAATGTTTACAGTTGGTCTGATAGTATTCAAATATAAGGCTAGGAATCAGTTTAGGTCATTCCGTTTCGTCTTTTATTGCGTTTATATTTTGCTTAGTGTTATTTCATCAAGTATCGTAATATCTTTCGTGTTGTTACCACGCAGCGTAGTCGATGCTCATCAAGAGAAAATGTTTCTTATGGTCTTCATCCTCAAACTAACACACTATATGCAAATGATCGTGGAATTTCTGCTCGTTCGAAATACCAAACATCCATACAAACTCCAAATAAATCCATACCAATAGAACGTTCTTATTCTATGAGATCACCTTCAATATCTGTTTATTCACAGTTACCGAATTTGAAATCTCCTCTGTCATTGTCCTCATCTGCTGGTCAAAATACAGAATCACCAAATTTATGTTTCATTTCACGTTCACCAAAGGAATCATGTACAACTGAAACAAGAAGTGATATTTCAGTTTCTAATGTTTTACCTTTCCTGTACACTTCAGTTTACAGTGCAGACTCTAAAAGCGTCCCACACACACCTGTTACTCGGGCATCACCTCGAATGAACCATACTTCTATAAGTGCTGTTCAAACATGCTACAACTCTAGCTTTGACAGCTGCCGTACCCGTTCACGTAGTTTAAGGTAAGTAATATTTTGATCTCTCACTTCAAATACCAGTGTGTGACTTCTTTTTTTTCAAATTTTTAGCATAATATAACTTCGTTAACGTAGTGCCTCTATTCTTGACAATAGATGTAATAAAATCTGACGTTCCCCGAAATCTTGTGTTTCATTAGTCACAGCAGAACTAGTCCATTTAACACATCTCTACCATAACAGGTTGTTGATTTTCACAGTATGAATAGATAGAAGATCATAGTCTTCTTGACACCAACAATGTAACTTGATTAGGATAATTAATTCCATTGACCTGAAGGTAGGTTTTATCAAATAATGATGACGTAACGTTGTTTCGTATAATTTTTTTTTGCTTGACTATGTCATCTTATAAAACTCGTTTCATATTTTCTGTGGTACTTTCTGGGGTGACCAATCAAGTTAAGATTTTTTGTTCTAAATATATTAGGTGTAACACACCCACAATTTTAATACGTATATTTCTACTGCTTGAAAATTGATTTATTGTTCACGTTGAATCAGAATGCTATATTACTGAAGAATTACAAATTGTGTTTTCCAGTTATTATCGACATAGTATTTCGTGACAAGAAGTATCTCATAAACGATTCAATTGAATAAAAGTGTCAATTATTTGAAATATTGTTACTATCGTTTTACTGCTCACTTTATTGCAACACAAAATTCAGTACATTTTGCAGCGGTTTGTCACCTCATATTTATTCTCATTCATTATTCTACCTTTGAGACTATTAAAAATCCCTTCAATTTCCGTCAAAACAGCATTTATGATGCAATTTATTATGAAGTCGATTCGTGTTCATCATCATTATTCATTTTGTCTCGTACATACCTTTTTCATTGTGGGCAGGGAAAGTATTGTTTGGATCTAATTTGATGATTAATTATCACACAAATAAATTTATTAACCCTAATCATTCAGTGGTTTCGGATTATGATCGAAGTAATAGTTTCTATTACATTAGTTACTTTATATTACAGATGCATACATCTTTCATACCCACCTTCTGACGCACAAATCAAAACAGTAACAGGTCATACAAATTCGCCTTAACCAAGAATAACTTTACATTAACATTCAAGCCTATCATGATTTCAATTGTACTAAAAGTATTTCGCATTGCTTCCTGTGTTCTATTTTTTCGTATTAATTTAATTTTGTTATTTATTTGCTCTGAAGAAGTGACTTACATCAAGTCACGAAACGCCAGGAATATAATTTTCCTACTTAGTGGGATATAACAGAATTACATTTGTTATTAGTTATTCATGTTCATGTCGATATTAGGTCGATTATCTCTTTCATATCACTTTTTCATATTACTTTTCTCCCAATTATATGATAATATGATATGATTCCTTTTTTCATAATAATAGTCCATTACGCGTTTCAAATGTTGGCGGTGAACAAGATATCTTGCTTTTAAACCACGTTTATCGGGAGCGCTTCCCAAAGGTTAGTTTATATATATATATATATGTATATATATATATTAAAACTATGGTATTAAATTGCAATGTTAATTTCTAAATTGACTGAATTATAGCACTTATGCAGTAATACAGTCACAATTGATCAGCACCCGTAATAGTTTCAATTAACGAGTTTTTAATGCACAATAAATGAAAGTTTATTATATCCTAGCAAGAATATTATAAGAAAAAGATTGTACAATAGACATTTTAGCCTCAAAATATTTTTTAAACTAATGATCTATTAACCAGCTTCTTTTTTCTAACCTAGAAATATCTTCATGTTTTCCTCATTTGTAAATTATATATTTTACATAAGATTAGATTTTATTTTGCGTTTATTCAAACGGATTATTTTAATAGATCAATTTTAAATTTTCATAAGTGAAATCATGAGCCAATTGACGCTAGACCACCAAGGAAAACCTGAAAGCGCTGCAAGACTATTTCGTTTTATTGTGGGACTCCTCAGCAGTGCGCATCCACGATCTCGCCTCGCGAGATTCTAAACCACGACCTAACAGTCTTGCGTCAGAGCACTTAACCGATAGACCACTGAGCCGGCATCTGAGGCGAGGTCGTAGATGCTCACTGCTGAGGAGTCTCACAATAAGACGAAATAGTCGTCCAGTGCTTTCAGGTTTTCTATAGTGGTCTAGCTTCAATTGACTCATGATTTGAACTATGAAAATACTGAAATCTTCACAAAACCCCTTCCAATTTTCTTTGAATAACAATTGATAAATTATTTAGTTTTTTCTAATTACATGTGTATTATAATCAGAAGGAGATTTGTGGAGATTTCAGTATATTTCAAAGTTGAAATCATTAGTCAATTGAAGCTAGACCACCGTCGAAAACCTGGAAGCACTGGGTTCGAATCTCGCGAATGCGGGATCGTGGATGCGCACTGCTGAGGAGTTTCATAATAGGACGAAACGGCCGTCCAGTGCTTCCAGGTTTTCGATGGTGGTCTAGCTTCAATTGACTCATGATTTCAACATGTGTATTAATTGTAAATGATACTCTGCTCGTCTGTTTAAATTAATTTTAGTTCAATGTTGAATTAATCTTTTATTAAATTGTTAAAGTAGTCGTAAAAATACATTTCCTGTGAGTATTGCTTGTTTTTCATATTTTTCTACTCTTTTAAAATATTTTCTCATTCTTCTATTCTTTTCTTCACATTTTATTATCTAATTTTTCAAGTATATATGTGTTTGTGTAATAATTAAATGTAAGGGATAGAATTTTTTTTATTGGTTCACAGTAAAATGTCATCATGGTTTGATTTTTGATTCTCTCTAGAAAATATGTCAGATACAACATTCATATAATTGCAAAAAAAGATTGATCAATAATTAATACACTATTGAACATGTACATTTCTAAAACTTATGCCTCAGTGTATAATCCTGCCTTTTTAACAAAGTTATCAACAGTTTTGTGTGATATTGAACTATGAAATTATGAGTTATTCATTTTGTGATAAACATGGTGCAGCCGAAATATACATGGCTTGGGCATCAAATTATATATGGTTAAATATCCAGTAATTAAATATTTTATGGATTAATTCTATATCTTTATGTGTTATGAAGCTTTCTTCATGCTATTAATACTACTACTGTTGTGAACGAAAACACAGGTGGAGACAACCAATGTATTTTAATATAAAGTTACAGAATATCTTGGTAAAATATAAGAAACATACACTGAATACTTCATTTGCAAATTTCCATCATTTGTCCTTCACATTCTATACGATTCTTCAAGTTCACAGTTCCTTTCTATTTTCCTTTCTATTCTCTTCATCTCTATCTTTTTAGCTTTCTGCTGTCAGGGTTTCCACTTTCAATTGATGTTACATACTAGTACTACGACTGCTACATCGGGTTTTGCAAAACAATTCGGTAAAAACTACGATCGATGTGTATTTACAAACATCACTAATTAAACTTCTCTTTTCCTTATGTTTTACCTTTGTTTACGTCTTAATACTGTTTATATCTTTACATGATGTGGACACGTGATTCTCAGCTGTTAAATCTCATGTTCAAATTCTGTACTTAGTTTATTTGAAGAGAACTTTAGTTCCGATAGCCTACATAATATGTCCATACAATGTAAGTAAATGCCATTATTGGGTCACTATATCGTGTGTGGATAAATGTGCTCATTCCAATGTAATTTTGTCTTTCAGGCATCCGCTCACATGCAAGAACAGTTGGCTTCCCTGGCTGATGAAATGGAGCATATGGATACAGTATCGTGGTCTGCAGTAGCAAGATTTGTCCATTGTCAAGTTGTCCAACATGCACGAGATTGTTTGCAGAAGGCTCTTTCAGGTCTTGTAACTTGTCGCTATTTTTATGAAATGACTGAAAATTTGAGCAAACTTGTCGAAGATGTAAGTAATTATTGATTAATTCCATTTATTTTTATTTGTACTATCTTGTAGTTGTTATTCAGGACTTATATTTGAATTTTCATTCTTGTTTATATTTAACATCTTGCTTTGAGAAAATTTTGCCATCCCTAACATCCCGTCTTCGACTGCCAGTTAATCTCCTCTCATTTGTTTTCAATTTCTTGTCAGACTCGTACTCGTGACTCGGATTCTATTCCGCTTGTCGTCACATTTGTCCGCCGACTACTTTTGATTATTGCCCGGCCTGCACGATTACTCGAATGTTTAGAGTTCGATCCGTCTGAATTCTATCAAATGTTAGAAGTTGCTGAAAGTCATGTACGTCATCGAACGAACTCCGTTAATGTACCGGGTTCTCAGATCATTTCAGCTGACGTCCCTCTATACATTATTTCGAAGCTTGGTCTCAGTAAAACTGTCTTGGATGGTAAGTTTGAAACAAATTTTTTGTACATAGTATGTTACGATCTTCATTTTAGTGTAATATACACTTCCAGAAACAGTTTTTTCATTTACACTTCGATTGACCCCTTAATTTCTGACAGAACTCTTTAATAAGTACTTTTATTGTGTTTTAAAATAAAGATAACATCCTAGCTACTTGATTAGTAACCCACATTGATCGTTACATATTATCACAGCCAGGAAAAAACACCGGGGTCATACAATCAATAGTTTTTTAGTAAATTCAGTTGTTTAGAGGTGAAAGCGTTCCTCTATTTTCATCTCTAACCATTTTCTACTTGTCTCATAATTAGCAACTTAAGGTAAAGAGCGTGTATGTGTATATACGACTCAGGGTTTCGAGGAATACTTTGTTGGTCTGATTTTATCTATCATTAGACAGTTTCATCTTGTCCGATATACGTGCTAGTGTAGAGACCGTAAAATTGTGATCAGTTCTAAATTATATCTCAAAATCATATAGTGAAATTTAGATATCTCCCAACCTAAACTGGCAGTATTTTAGGTTCTACTTTCTGTCACACGCTTGATAATTTGCAGCACACTTGTTTTAATCTAATATTCTAATTGCTCTTCCGATTTCATTTCCCTACTAACTTTTATCCACTTCATTATGTTTTTATCCAGCTCCACTTACTATTTTTAGAGGATTCATTTTTTATCGCACTTTTCTTGTCATATTTACTATTAATAGAGGTTATCAGATAATTTTTTACTATTTCTATTAGATTTTGGTTTTTCTTAATGTGAATTAGTTGGTAATTCCTCGTACTTTTCAATGTATCTCTCACCTTTATACGTCGCATTTATCATTTGTCCATGCTTAGTCCGCTGTTTTGATTACATTTATAAATGTTTGATCATAGTGGCTGAACGTAAGCTATTTTCGTTTTTTTACTCCATAAGCTTTCATACCAACACTTTATTATTATTTTCACCTTGCACCTCCATTTTCAGGTGTTGTGTGTGTGATAACGAACAGATAACTTATCAATATCTTATACTTTTGTGTATAACGTATTGTTAGAAAATTTAAAAAGTTAGCATATCCTATCTGTTTAACAATGATCGCTAGGTCACTTGCTAATATTTCCCATCATTAACCAATAAGCAGTTTATCCGTCATTTTAACTGTATGACTGCGCTTATAATGGGTCAAACATGCACCTAACACCATCGTATGTTTCTTTTTTGGCTCGACTTTTACATGACAGAGAACAATAGTTTGTTTGATTTATGATTATTATTTGTAGAATCATAACTTTGTTCAAAGGGTAATCAAGAAAGATTAAAGCTAATGATACCTTGGAATGGGCGCAAATATATTTATTTGAAATACGTTTTTACTAAATTACAATGTATTAACACTTAAGTACTTAGGTTAAAGTATTTTTAGTTGAAGTGAACACATCAGACGGTTTTTGTATACTGAGATACTGTTCCATTCCTAAATATTAATAGTGTTATCACATTATATATTAATTTTGCCATCCATGGGTAATAATAATAATAATGGTAGTCTTATTACAAATCAGTGATTAAGTATGTATTTATACACAATAGCTTGAGGCATTCTATTTTTGTTACAAATGATAGTAAGACTACCTAAACCAGACTAATTAAAACTGTTCTCGACCTGCTACAACCCTTTTGGCTGTGGTTGTTCAATTCTTAAACTGCTGGTATTTGGATTAAAAATTGATATTCATTTTTTAGTGGAAACAAGTCATAAAAGGATGACATTTGGATATATATACTATCTGTTCATTGATGCGGATGTATAGGGATATCAAAAACACTTTTGGAATTGAAGAATCTCTTTAAATTCTACGATTATATTCCGGAAAACTGATGATTAATACTATGAACCTTTCATCGTTTAAAAAATGTGGCAGTATATCCTCTGTAAAACAATTTTGGGTTGAAATATCCATTCTGTAAGTGAAAGGATTTCACTTACTTTCACTTCACTTTGTTCATACCTGGCGTTACTGTTAACCGTGTCACTCGTCTATCGAAACTTATATAGATTTATTTATATTCTTCATCCCACCCATCTTAAAACCTTCACTTTAATATCAACAACTATTGTCTTGATAGTCAGTTTACACCTTCACTCAATTCATGAATAAAACTTTTAAGTATCTGATTACATTAAATGCTGACAAGCAATATGTTTTTAGAATTTAAGTGGTTTTTTAACCTTGCTCATTTTGCGAATATTATTTAAAACTAGTCCATTACAGTTTTAATTATGCTTATTGTTCAGTTTATATATATATATATATATATATATACTATTTATCCACTTTTATTTTACAGAGTCACAGAATGTCAAAGCTTCTCATCTGTGTAGTCCTAATTTAAATGATCCACACCATTCAGAAAAGTTTAAATCTGACTCTACCATAAGAGTTAGAACAACTAGTGGGTCTAACCTGAATTCATGCATGCATACTGATGATGAAATTGTTTCGCGAACAGCACGTAGCAATAGTAGTTGTGTTCTAATTCGTCCACCTTGTGAAGCTGACTTTGAAGTCATTAAACTGATATCTAATGGCGCTTATGGGTAAGCATGATCCGTCATCATCATGTTTTTATTTCTCTGTAATTTCAGAATATGTTGCATATGTTTTACGAAAAACACTTACTACAATATTATTTGTAGAATTCGACGAAAACTACTTAAGTTTTCATTAGCTAAAATATTTTCCATTCAAATCAATTTTATGTACTGAATACTATGTGCTGAAATACAGTTGTTTTGAAATGTATTTCTTTAGTTAAAATTTAATAGTTATCGAAATTCACTTTTATAATGTACGGTTCTCATAAGACTGTCACAGTACGTTACTATGGTTCATATTCTCTCATCAAACAATTAAATAACTTTTGGTTGAACACTGATAATACTACTATTACTCAAAGTTCCTAGTTAGATTACTTCACAAAGCTTTGCTTTGTTGCATCAAAATTCATATGAACAAAAATTAAATGGCTCGTAATTTTTAGGTTTATTTTTGTTAATTTATTTGTACCTAACTGATATAACAAGTCAGAAAATATCCTCAACTATTTCTCAGTACTTTCAATAAAACTGATTATTCCAAAAGTGTCATCTCTATTAAATTGTTAGTATTCGATTCGTTGGAATTATTTTGGATTGAATAAATCTATCGTTATGAAAAGTGTTTCTCACATCGATTTATGTCTTCTAGTTCATATTATTTTCTTTCCCTAAACTTTTGAAATTTTTTTTCAGTTAACGTTGTTGATTTTTATTTACTTAATGTTCTCATTTTTCAGTGCTGTTTATCTCGTAAGACATAAAATAACTAGACAACGATTTAGCTTGAAGAAAATTCGTAAACAACACTTACAATTACGTAATCAAGTTGAACAAGTATTCGCTGAACGAGATATTATGAGTTTTGCAGACAATCCATTTGTTGTTAGTTTATGTTGTACATTTGAAACAAAAAAATGTTTATGCATGGTGATGGAATATGTGGAAGGGGGTGATGTAGCAACTTTATTAAAACATATTGGTGGACCATTACCATTAGATTTGGCTAGAATGTATTTTGCTGAAACTGTATTAGCTCTTGAATATTTGCATAATTATGGTATTGTTCACAGAGATTTAAAACCAGATAAGTAAGTTCGACTTTAATTATCAATGAATGTACAATTGTGTAGTTATTTTTCATTCAGTTCACAACTATTTATTGAATTGATTCAGAGTTATTTGATCGTTCTCAAACTTTGTGATTTAATGACATATATATATACTGATTGCATGCCTTTAAAATGTATCCAATTACAGTTTGCTGAGTTCAAATGATCGTATTTATAATTGTCAGAAATCGTACGTAAAACAAAGTCGAATATCTTGCCATAATCCCACTACAGGTTAATACTATTTTTTACATGAATTATGTATGATGAATGATTCACTTTTGAAAGATTAAGTAATTATAATGTACCAATGTATAGTATGCAATTTTCAAAATTACATTTCACCTGTTTAGAGTAATTTCATATAATTTAATGTAATATCGCACATTTCTCTAGTTTAGTTTTCGACTATTCAGCTCATTAATAAGATTGGTACCTCTCTGACTCCACATTCTACCAGCTGGTCAAACGTTGTTCTTTTGTATCTGTAACCTCATGACTGTTATGCTTGTGGCCGAGTGGATGGGTAGTTGATGTGTGGCTCGATAGAACCGCCAAACAGGGAGCAGCGAAATGTCGATTGGAACCGTGACACGAAACCCGTACGAGCAGACTAGAGTGCTAACCGGTTCTGCGATCTTCCTAGCCCAGCCAGTTAAGTCCCAAACACCAATAACAGCCTCAGTGGTATGAATCATTATTTACAAACATACTGGGTTTTTATACAGCCAAAGTAATCAATAACTGAGTATAACTCAACAATCGTATGATAATAAATCAAAGATCAAAATAAAGCTCATGATAAGAGAAACACGAATATGAATAGTTTAGTTACGTAACAATTGTACAATAGGAAATAACATGAGAATTATGTGAAGAGTCTAAAAACATACTACTTTACATTCGAGATAATTTTTGGGATATTCCTGTGAATATCCTAACAATGACTAAATGTTATTCCATTGTTAACAATTTTGTTGGATATATTTGTCGATAATAGCTTGATAATTAACTCTATATCATTTGAATCTTAATAGCAGTACCTTTAAAACCAATATGACTGAGTAAATAGATGTATACAATAATAACAGATTATAATCTTGATACATAAATAAATAACTATTATTTGTCCCATCAAAATTTCATATTCTACTAACCCTCATAAATATCATAAAACAATAAATGACCTTTGACTGTGAAGTAATCCCGTTTTGCGAAAGTAGAACTCTTCATGTATATTTTTAACCATCTTAAAATCACGATAGATAAATAAACCGTGTAAGTTATGTTGATTGGTTCAACTTAATATAGAATAAAGCCAATAATAATAATAATAATAATAATAATAATAATAAGAATAAGAATGACAGAATTCATGCCAGTTTATAGGCATGATTAACTTGATATAGATAATAATATTAAATGTAGAGGACATATGGGATATTAGATTGTTTAAAGTGTTCTAGTTCAAAAATTATTTAAGTATTGCATGTTTCACGTGTTACAGCGATGATTTGCGTCAACCGGGAACTTTTAATTCTTCTTAAGTGGACATCTTGTTTTATGTATGAACGGTGTATTTAAGGTCATTTTCCACGCCATCATGAATTGATTATAATTGTTTACAACTAGAGGAAAATAAAAAAGGATCAGAGAGCTTGGGACTACAAAAGCAATGATTACTACAATAGGTCGATCAGGTCTACCATAATAGATGTGTGAGATTATTTTATGGTATACTGTTCGTGCTGGATGTGATTCAAATTAGTTAAAGTCACTAGGCACGGTTTTAGTGTAAAGTTTCATCAGATAAGGAGGTTTGCTTAGTGGTTTAAACGATCAAACATGTAAATTTCCTATAATCCCACTTGTGGAATGGGATATGTTTACAGGTGTAAGGACATTTAGGTAATTTTCGGAGGAGAAGTAAGCATCGATGCGGTGAACAAAGGGTGGGAATGATTTTATTTGACGAACAGACTGTGATAAATTATTCCAATGTCTAAAACGTTTCCTGATAAAGTAATTTTTATATGGAGAGAATGTTTAGAATGAGATTGTTTCACTAATGATAGAGTTACGGATATTGTAACTTGGAGTTTCTGCGTATTGGATTGCTTTATTGGATGTAAAAGACAGACTATCAAGTATTTCGAATAAAAAAGATTAAATTTAGTTCGAGTTCGCTCTTTCATAAAGGGTTGAGTCCAAGTTTATTAACTCTGGACTTAGCTTAAGATACAATCAGTCCCAAGAGCGGGGACCTTAGTTTATCCTTTATACGAACACTACTAAGAATAAACGTACAGTGCTCCAGGAGCAGTCGAATACATACTTTGTACTCGTTATAGAGGTTGCGAATTGTGTAACTCAGAAGACGTTGAGACACTTAGGGTTCTGTTTCGAGATCTGTCGTACGAAGGAAGAATTGTAGGAATACCCGAGTCCCAAGTCCACCACTGCATGCAACTTGGATAACACCTTGCCATTTATAATAAGATCTAAGTTGAGTGAATTATCACTAAAGCATATCCATCCACATTAAGTATGTGAAGCTCTAACCACCATTTTGATCACCACTAAGTTACCTTGTTGAGATCTATGCAATTTCGCATGTCGTCCAGCTTGAGGAGAAAATGAATACATTACTTTAAGATCTTCTGCATATACAAGAGGCTTTTTCACTCAGAAGCAATTACAAATATCATTTATATAAACTAAAAAGAACAAAAGACCTAAGACACTACCTTGTATTACACCACTTTTGACCGGGACATCATCTGAAAAGGAGGAGTTTATTTTAACTATTTGATGTCAGTGATTGAGAAATGAATTAAATCAAACAAACAGAGGGTTTTTCGATCCCATAAGATGCGAGTTTGCTTATGAGAAGCTGGTGCTTAACTATATCAAAAGCTTTAGAAATGTCAAAATATATCACTAAGACTAGATATCCTCGCTTACGTTGAGTGAAGACTAAATTGAAGAAGCCAAAGTGGCAGGTCATACGAGATCGAGTTTTAAGAAAACCATGTTGAGAATCAGTGATAAGTTTTACAATGAGTAAATAGTTGGAGAATTCTTCACCAACATTTTTTCCTATTGACCTACATATAATATCAGAATAAATCTCCAGAAAATTATTCATGCCTTGCGAAAGTACGAATCAGAATATGAAGTAAACAATTTCCTACTTAATCAACCTTCAGTGTAAAATACTGATTTTTATTTTTCGAATTCCAACTAAGATACGTTTATTGTGCATAAATATTTCTGTAGTATATATTCATCAACTTCAAAGTAAATAACGAACAATGGTTTATCGTATTAACCTCGATAAAAAATAACTTAGTCATACTAAGAAGTTCATCTTTGTTAATAGGACTCGATCTATGCTATTGATATCATGAGAAATTGGTGATCTACATGATTTGTTTACAGTTAAATGTAGACTATGTATAGGGTTCCTATAACCTATCCTCTTGTTAATTAGTATTTCGTCCTAATGTCATTGCTTCGAACTACTTTTTTAATTTTGACAAGAAAAGTTTTAGCAACCTAATACTGATAAGGTTTTTTTATTATTTTGTTTATCCAACGATGGAATTTCACATCATTTGTTTTCATTTAGAAATATTGATATTTTTGTTCACTGTTTGTACTGTTAGTATATTTTTCAAAGTACTAGTGTAAATTTTTTCCGGCAACATAAACTGTAGATTTGGATTCAGTTTTTGTTTCTTGAAATATTCAATGTACCAGCAAGTCAACGGTTTAAGCCTTCGAGTTTCATTTGATAATTAGTTAGTTCGAACTTCACTCTGGATAATATATTGAACCATCAAACATAAACTTATACTTGGTAAAAATAGAAATTACGATTGAGAAATATTGAATTGTAGTAATTTAAAAAGGCTGTAGAAATCTAGAGAATTTACCAAATATTCATTTCGATATGCTTACATCTATTTCAATTGACATTTGAGTACTACTACTACTAAAAGAAAAGAAGTCATTTTTCTCTTTGGTTTCCTGAGATCTAATCTGTGTTAAGTCTTAGAATCTTTGTAGTCGCTTTTAAATACTGTATTATTCTTTATTATTCAAGAAAACAGTTTAACTTTTACACTAACTGTTAAGTCTTTCGTTATCTGACCCAGTTGCTTTTATTACTTAGTATTCTTTGAACAATTTACTTCACCCTACTGACTTTCAAAATCAGAACACGACTTGAGCAGGTACGTAATTATATTTTAAATAAACCAAGTGAAATCGAAGTGAATCACAGCAAGAAAAAGGTTGGTATACTTTTAATTTTCCACAAGATTTTAGAGTCTTTCAACTTATCCTCTAGCGTTGATTGACTAAGATTGGGGCAACCAGTGTGATTCAACATTATCCCATATAGATTATGCTGTTAATCCAATCTGTATTGCTGATAATATTATTTGTATCCAAAGAACATTTAATGAATGGTAAATTATGGGAATTATTTATAGACTATATATATCATAAACTTTTATTTGACCCTTTAACTATTATTATACTATTTACCATTTTTAAGTTATTCCTAATCTATTGGTTACAATCACACTCACAGCTACTTTTGATTTGATCTTGCATAATTGTTAATTTTCATTTTATGGTGTGATGTCTGGTGTGCTTGTATGTAAGGTACGTATGTTTGAAACGTCCATACAGTGGAGGCGGACATTGTGTTTTGAACTCGACAAGCAGGCCTAGGTTGAGAAGCTACTATATCTAGGATCAACAAGGACTCTGAGTTAACTCAATACTGCTAGTGCTGGACGATATATCATTGGTTTAGCACAGGCGCAGGTTCATAGAAGTCGATATTCTGCTTAGCGATTTTGCCACGTGATATTTGACAGGCGTATAAGTCATAACACTATTTAACCCCATACTCATTAAAGAAGTAATAGTTTCTTCTTTCCCTATCTTTATTCATTGTTAGGCTAATCCCTCTCTGACTAACGTTATAACTGGCGTAAAGTGCTGTTTTTCTTATGTATGTGTTGGAAATGCAAAAATAAATATGATTAAATTACTTGTAAATATATTTCGATTGATTTTGGGTTTCCGATACCTTTAAAAGTTTTGCTTACCTAGAAAAATAAATTTATTTTCAATCTATATTCGATAAAAAACACCACTATGGGCTATCATTTGTCATGTTTTTTTAAGAATAATATAAATCTGTCATTTAATATAAAGGGTATTATCATGACAGACTTAACTAGCGCATGTTTCCAGCCTATCGGTTATCTTCTTTCATCTATTTACACGTTTAGAAGTTTGAAATACCTTAACATCAATTATTTTGTCATGAAGGCTTGTTTACTCATTGTCAAACTTGTCACCATAGTGATAAAAAGACTGTAGATTAATTTTATATTTAAGCTGACAGTTTTATTTTTTTTCAAATGATGGTAAGACTTTATTTGCACATTCATTAAACGAATGAATCAAATGTGTGGGATTTGGTTTTGCATTTTCGAGAAATTTGTATTGGTTTACATCGCAAACATTATGGTGCATGATTATTAATTGACTATACTGACTTAACACTTGATTTCTTAGTGAACCTATAAAATTTCCATACTCAATAAGTTAGTTCAAGATTATTAAATATCAATCATAATGTGTTATCTTATATATCACTTTCATATTTGGTTATTTTAATGAATGGTTTTACAAATCATGTGAATATATTACTATTTGGAATATTATGTACTGCTGGTAATCTAAAATTTTCTAAATCCAGCTTACTAGTTCATATTTCCTGTTTCTTTTTGATGTCATTTTTGTGTATACAAATTTTTCGTATGAAAAGTTGCACCAAATTTTCTCCTCTGGGTCATATATCAATATCATATTTTCAACTTAAATTCACAGTTCTTCTTTACCATAGTGTCATGACCTTTTAACGTCATATATTATGTTTATTATGTCTCTTAATTGTTTGGTGTTCTTTGTCCTGTTCTATTATTTATCCTATCTATAAGGTAATTCCTTAATTTTCTAACTTTCTGGTCGTTGGTTAGCAATTATTCCTTTTACTTAATTTGGATTCGAGATTTCTATCCATGAGAAAAATTTTCGTTTGGTTACCTTGATTCAGTACAATGATTTATTAGAGAATTGTTCTTTCATTATAAAATTTTAGTCTATATATTTGGGTGAATTACTTAAATCTTTTACATCGTTAGTTGATTCTGCTTTATCTACATTTTATAGAGCGATTATTGTTTACTATTCTATTTAAATAATTATTTACTATCCCTTTACAATTCCTTAACCATCAATTCTTTCTTTTCTCATATATTCTTCAAGTTTGCTAATAACACATGAAGGTCACATAAAGTTAACTGATTTTGGACTCTCCCGAATCGGTTTAATGAATTTAGCTACTAATTTATATGAGAAAAATTTGGATTTAGAAAAGGACTGTAAAATGTTTCGTGATAAACAAGTATTTGGAACTCCAGAATACATTGCTCCAGAAGTGATTCTTCGTCAGGGTTATGGTAAATTATTTTTCATAATTATTTTTTCGATATTTTTGTATTCAATCCCACGAATTCGTTTCATCTGTTAGTTATCATTTTAAGTCTATGTTACTTATTAGAATTACTAGTAGTGGTAGTAAGTTTGCATTTGTTTTAATCTTGCACGTATTCAAGTAAATCTAAAAGTCTTTGTTAAATATCGAATTAGGTACAAGTATATGAAGTACATTAAATCTGTGTCTAATAACTATAACTAAATGAAATGTTATACCTTTGATTTAGTAGTAATCTGTATGTTCAGTACGAAACTTCCGCGTCATATATTTGTCTGACATCTAGTAAATGTGGAACACTTGGATTTTTCACACTCTTGAGGAAGATTACAAAAGGAAAAGAATAGTAATAACAGAAGTAGAATTAAGAAATTTTGAAAGTAAAACTATATCAAAATATAGTACCATTTTCACAACACATCAGCTCAGCTATCTAACTACTTTATTGTCAATCATTTAGTCGAAGTAGCAGCGCATTAAACTACTTGAAAGAGGAATGTTTGAACCGTGTAAGACAGATGTGTCACTTGGGTCTAATCAAATTTAAATCCGTATTATCTGTTCTATACAGTCTATTAATGTCATCGACAAACAACATGCGTGGATAGGTAATATGATTCACTGGCTAATCAATACTTTTCGCATGTTTAGAGACCTAACCTCTAAACTATATCCTAGTTCCTAAAAATATCTAAGCAGATTTTAATTGTTCATACATCTTCATCTATTTACTCGTCAAATTTCAATTTACCAACTTTTTTTAAAATCTTCTACTAGGTAAACCAGTAGATTGGTGGTCAATGGGAATTATGTTATACGAATTTCTCGTAGGATGCGTCCCGTTTTGTGGTGCCACTATAGAAGAACTTTTCGATAATATTGTAACAGGTATATGTTATTTATAAATATATGTATAATTAGTTAGCTAATCAAAATTCCAGGACAGCCGACGAACAAAAATGTCACAAATAGTGTTTTTTTTCTCCCCTCCTTTCATCCATCATTCTTTTCTTATATTATGTAAAAACATGTTGTTCGCGAAATTACCACATGTTTTTACAATCGACAATCGTCTTCTTAGGCATCCTTATTTTTCGGACACAATTGGCAATCGATTTTTAAAAAAAAAAGATTTCTCACCTTGTGTATATTTTATGTTTTTTTTAATAATTCAAGTTTCGATTTATTTTTTTGCCTCATGCCTTATGTCTCGTGCAGACACGCGCATATTTTACATATTTACACGTACATATATATACATATTTATATGTATATACTTGATTGTTTTAATGGTGCATGACCTGTAGGTTAATTGGGTTTTTTCCTTTGTGTGTCGGAAATTTTTAAATAAAAAAACATGAAAGAAGTTTATTTCAAAATTACTTTAAGTAATATGTTTTTTATATATTGGTGTAAAGTGAAATGCAATTGATTTTTTGTTTTGTGTAAATTGCACTGTGTTCCGCTTTACGGATATTCTATGGTAGATGTTCAAATACATTGGTGAAATTGTTTTTTCCATAGAATTTAAACAAATTATATAGATTACACCATTATCTAATTTTAAATTTTCATCCATATATATATTATCAAAGTCAATGAACTAAATTCATTTAGCTGGGCTTACACACTAATAAGCGTTTTTAAAAAATTAATTTAGGAGGTGATTAGACGTATTACTGTTTATACACGTATGAGCTAATCCGATTTGTATTGAATACGTATATTCTTAGTTGTAACATATACTGAATATTAATTAGAATTTTTTTTATTTTCACTCCTCGTAACAATAGATAAGACTCATCTAAATGGTGTCTGGTCAAATCTCAGTATGAAGTTAAAAAGCGCGGTTGGTATTTGTCAACTTGTTTCACTTGATGTGTAGGGGAAGATATCCATCTCAACTTAAGAACGTGTATACTACGCGGCAGTTTGCTCCGTTATACTTTGTGGCTGTGATTAATAGTCCTTAAAAATAAAGAAGTATATTCGTAGGTTGCTAGTATTGGAAACATTTCTCGTTTATTCTAGGACTACTGGGTTAGGGATTCTGGGGTTGGACGCAGGGTACTAGATGAAGATGGTTAGTCAATTGATGAGGTAGTGCATCTTTACAGGCCGATATAGTTAGAACATGTAACGCGTACGATGATCCACCTATTACCTCGACGAATGATGCTGGAAGATAGCTAGAGGTGGCCAAGCCTTTGCAACTGTCCATGAAAACACTGACTGCTGGAGTAAGCCATGTAGGTAAGTTCAAATCACCTGGTTGGTATCATCATAATTATCGTAACAAGTGGTTAGATATATTGAGTAACATGGTCGAGAATCATTCACAATTGCACAGATGCATTCACTGTTTGTTCACTCCTAGATCATAAGTTCCTAAATTACTTTATAAATTTATTTATTCCTTTCATCCATACTTTCTCGACCTGTATCTTTGACCCCTAGTCTTTTCCATTACTATTAATACTATTACCTAATACTATTTACCTAGACAATGTCATCTCGCTCTCTAGTCTGGTGTAACAACTCCAACTGGTGTACATCTGTGCCAGGTGTATGACTAACTGATTCTAGTTATACAGTAATTACATATCTAGTTGTAATAGCTATCAAATACCTGTTAAATTTTTAGGGCGATTTATAGTTTGTAACGATAACTAAAATTATTCGGATAACCGCTATTTTTCCTAATGTGGGGCTACTCATTTGTGTGCATTCACAACTCCACCGGGGCAGTGAACCCAGAACCCTTACGTTTCCTGACAACCGATTAACCTTTAAAACTCTGAGCTGAGATCTAACGGTTTATGTACCTAACTTCAATGGATTTGTGTTGTTGGTGAGTAGCTTCCTGACACCAGACATGTTTGAGCTCCACTAGTTATGGCTTTTCACTAGGATTTCGGAAATTATCTCTGAGGTCGTGAATAATGTCTTCTGAAAAGTTCCATACCAGGAGGAAACAGCCACTCAGTGCTTCTTGTTTTTCAGTACTTATCTAAGGTCAGTTCGTGATGTAAACTATTGAATGCAACAATCTCCACAATCTCCCGTGTACTGATTTCAAGATATTGTTAAAATTCACTCGGACTCATTCAGTTGTACACTGAATATATATAATAATATCTACCACTCATTTTTATAATTAAATATTTGATAAATTCATAAAATGTTAAAATATTCTGTTGAGGTGTTTCAATTTTATCCTGTTATCATTCTTAAATTAACAAATTGAAAAAAGCTGCCACCATATAATGTCATATATTGACTCATTTAATTAACATCAAGTGATCTCAAAATTAGCGGAATAATCATTTTAAGCGCTCACTAAGTACAATATTACTACTAACATTTCCATAAATAACTCAATAATTTCAGTAATTTTTGTGTACCTTTTTTTGGCGATTAATGAGATTATTCGGTATTAGTCACTAAATTAAAGATTCTACATTTTGTAGGTCAGTAAAGTATTTGATATATCAGAATATTCTATGTAGTTTCTCGAAAGTATGTTTATATCACGATATTTCTATGACCAATGCGTATTGCAACGTGAATCTTTACAAATTATTGTGTTTTACATGTTTAAGTAACATTGCACAATGACTATACTTTGTACTGAACTGTGAAAAGGTCCTGTAGGTGTTTGAAGTGAATCATTCTTCTTTTTTTGTCATGTTTTCAGCACCAATCGATTGGCCTGAAGAAGAAGAATGGAAAGTCACCCCACCAGCTGTAGATATAATAACTAGGCTTCTTGAGCGAGATCCTCTACTTCGTCTTGGGACTATCGGGGGTTCATCCGAAGTTAAAGAAACCGTATTCTTCTCTGGTCCTGGTGCAGTAGATTGGAAAAACTTATTGAGACAAAAAGCGACTTTTGTACCTCAACTTGAACATGATGAAGACACTTCGTATTTTGATCCGCGTACTGATCGTTACAAACATGATGTGGAAAACGATGAAGATGTATATATTCCTATGGATTATGCTGTATATAGCAATAGATCTTCCCCTGCACCTCATTTGTCAGTTTCCCGAAATTTCAGCTTTAATTCTTCTGCCGATCAAAGCCTAACGAATATCATCCGACGACCTGCAGCTTCTCGTCTTGGACGCGCTAAACAACAAGCTGCTGAACATAAACGTAGTCACAGTTTGGGGGATAGTAATAATTTGTTCCTTCGGTCATTTAAGTCTCGTTCCAAAAGTCGAAGCATCCGTGATTCACCTATAAACACCCCACAGTCATTTATGCATTCAGAACTAAGCAGTTCTAGTTCTCAGCGGTCTTTATGCCAACAAAAATATGATCCTGAAAAGATTGAACACGATTTGGTAACATCTACTTTAACTGCGGAATCTGTTGCAAGTCGTAATGCTTTACACATATTACAAAACTTATCATTAACCTCTAGCACTATAGAAAACTCTACGTGCTCAAAGTTATTAAGTGAGAATAGCATTCATAGTCAACAGTCATTGACTTCCGGAATTAAATTAGAAAAATTGAATATAGATGTTACTAAATCCGAAGTTAGTGATGATGACCACAGTGACAATCAAAACATCACTGATGACTCACGTACATTTCATTATTTTTCTTCATATTCACCTCGTTTCTCTGTTGTTTTGGAACAAGCTAGAATGAATGAACTTCGCAACAACTCCAATACGAGTCTGAACTCTAACGATGTCGATTCTGTCAGTGAAAAGAATCCGCTTCATACATCGTCTCCTCGCATCAATCTGGCATCATCCAATAATTTTAATTTTAAGCGTGTGAATCCCGAACTTCCTAGAGGGAACTGTAAATTTGCTCCAGATGAACAACAGTCAATTATAAATAAACAAAATAGGATTTCTTCTGACCATTCATTGAATAATTTCGAAAGTAACACTAATACGTCAAATGTAAGTACTTCTATTACTATCTTATCACTACTATGTAATCGAATTTTTCATATATTTACTTGATTTCTTTTCCCTATTAGGCTGAGTGGTACGTTTGACATGTAGTCTATATAAACACAAGCCGGCTAAATAAAAATTACTTTGTTCTCGGATAAGTCGACTAATAATCTCCATTCTCATTATAATTATTTTTTCTAGTGTTCGTCCAACTTATTTAAATAGACAATCTACAGTAAATGTCAATATCTAATTGTATATCATGCATTTTAATCTGATTGATATGGAAAAACCCAGCTTTTAACATATTTTTCCGCTGTTATTTTTAGTTTCAGTCATCTGATATACCAAGTGCTGTTGAATCTTTCAAATGTGACCAGTTCAGTTCTGAAATCGTTAGCCCAAGCGTTGTTATCCCCTCAATCACTCACACTAGTACTGAAAGTGCTACTCCCATCCTGTTAAACGTCAAGGAGTCAGATAAATTTTATGTTATTCCTGATGCTAGTAAACATTCAAAATCTTCAGAATCGGATTCTAATTCTAGTTTAGAGCTGTTTCAAAATGATTCGAGCATCCGCTTTTCTGGAAACTCTACAAGAGAAGATGAAGCAACAATTTATCAACCAATTACTCTTGTCTCTTCTGAACCCATTGAAAAACCTTCACTAATGTCCATAAATTGCCCTAACCCTGAACATTTTGCTAGTCACACGGCTTCTCATTCATCGACTTCAAGTTCATCTTCATCTAAATCCTCACTTTCACTGACAACCCTCACTCCCCACCTAACTCCTCATACACAATCATTATTCTCTCCTATAAGTGAGAATGATTCTGCTTTACATAAAGGACCATGGTTTCTTAATGTTGATTTAAAACCAGATGAAGAACATTTGAATGTCTGTCCTTACCAACATACTCCTCGTCCGTTTATGTCATTTAAAAGTACATCATCTGTACTCTGTCAAAGTAGTGGAACTTCTGCAACCAAATCAGATATGTATTGCTCTCATTCACCATCCGCATCTGGACCCTTGCTTTTCAACAATCCCTCACGTATTATACATTTTCCAGTTTCTCCTGTGGGTCACAAACCTTCTTCTTTGCGATCTTTCATGCCTTATACTCTTGGAATTCCTCGCCAAGCAATCATAATCAATAAAGGTAAACAAGGCTTTGGTTTCGTTTTCCGAGCTATTCGAGTATTTTTTGGTCTGTCAGATGCATATACATTGCATCATCTTGTACTTGGAGTTGTGCCTCATGGTCCAGCAGCTAAAGCCGGCCTAAAAGAAGCTGATCTAATTCTAAGCGTTAACGATGTTTCGACAATCGGAATGTATCATACAGATGTTGTGAAGCTAATTTTACAGGTAATTCATGAATAATCAACGTATTGATGCTTTTTAACGCTAATCACTGATAGCTTTTTTAAGCGTAAGTCAACAAAATGAGGTTTTTCCCAATTATTGCATGAATACCGTTATTAGGATATACTATAAAGAACCAATGCAGTTAAGACAGTGCTAAACACCTAGCAATTTATTTTAAGAAGCTTGCACTCTAAAGTATCCTATTACTGATGTTGGAAACAAAATAAAACTAAAGACAGGTTCTCATCACCTTCAATTCGACGTCGGGTTTAATAAAGTTGCTTCTAAGTATGCAAGTTTATTAGAAAGGAAATCAATACTTTCCACCTCATAGCTATCTTTCTGTAGTTATCTAAAACATAAATCTATAAAATAAGTTAATATTAACAAATAGTTTTCATTTTGAAAGTTTATATTCATGAGAAATGGTCAATTCTCTTAATATCGTATGAAAAGTATTTTAATCGAAGAAATATGAACATATTTCTCAATTTCACAAATAAATATTTCCTGACCACAAAGTATCACAAATATGTTTTGAATCATATTAGTTACTTTAATCCGTGTCATACTATTGTAGTGTCGGTTATTATATTAAGTCCATATAACTTATCCTAGATTTTGGACAAGCCAATCAAATCATTGAGTGCATGAAATATACATATTCAAAATCTATACTCGTAGTCGGCTTGTTTGATTCCGTTATATTCACTAACGCGAATTAAGTCGATAATAATATACGAGAGTAGTCAGGATGTATATTTAGACAGCAATCATTCATACGATCTACTTGGAGTCAGATAACGGGCCACTAAACTGTAATTCACAGTGTTTCTGTTTCCAATCATTTGATTTCAGTTAATCAGTTAACTTTATTTTAAATGGAAAATTAATTGATCGTATATCAAAAAATGTTTTAAATAAATATATCCTGTTATGCTACATTGAAAACTGACTTACATCTTATGAGAATTGTTTTTAATTTGGGATATTAGTCTTAATGTTTAAAGATCATTATGCATAGTATTGGTTAAATTGTTTTGCAATTTCTGATTAATTAAATCAAAGATTCATGTCAATAAATTTATATAGAATTTACTTGATCAACTACCCTTCAATTATTTAATATCTGTGGTATATTTAACTTTTTTATGTGTACCTTTACCAATGCTAAGTGTGTGTGATCTATTTTCACATTTGGACCTATTTTAAATCATTTTATCAGTAGTAATAATAATGCGTTTTGTAGCATTCCACAAAATATGCAATTATTAATCGGTTGTCCGTTCCGTCATTTCTTTTTTCATTATCACTAAAACAAAATATCTAGAGTGGGACTACTCTACGTCTTCATGCAACTCCTATTAGTCAAACATTTATTCGTTCTGATGGACCATATCGTTCTTCTGGTCGTCTTGTACCACGTGTTACTTCAGCTCATCTACTGAATAATAATAATAATAATAATAATAATAATAATAATAATAATAATAATACAAGATACTCAAGTCAAATTCCAGATAAACACACATGTACATCTTATACACCATGTAATCCCTTGATGAGTTGCCATTCTAATTCTCCCGAAATAATATCCAAGGATGTTTCATCACTACCTTTTGACGGGAAATCATATGCTTCAGTGTGTGCATCAAGTAATTCAAGGCATACTGATGAAGTTGCTAAACGCATAACTCGACGTTTGACAATTAGAGAAGCCCGTCATCGTCATTTAAATAATGGGGCTTACGAATCTAAAGTTCAACATGTACAACCAGATACCAATTTAAATTGTTGTATTCATCAATCAGACTCAATACCGAACAACGCATATATGGATAAATCGAAAAATTGTTATTGTCAGCCAGTAACATGTTCTAAAGGATCTGCTCAAACCTATGCTTCTGTTGCTGCTCAACGATTTGGTATTTCTCTAGGTCAAACCTCTACACACCCTATAAGCTCTAACTCAATCTCTCAAAACAATATTAATTTTTTTCCAGCACATCGTAGGTAGGTTTAATTTTTATGCAGTTAAAGTTGACATTTTTATATACCTCTCATGAAACCAGCAGTGACCGACCAGTTTTGAACTTATCCTGTATATAAAAAACTTGCGTTCTTTCTCCTCGTCAGCGATACTATATGTATCTATTTGCAGCATGGCGTTCTAGCTTGACAGAAATTAAAGTATTTTTCTTGCTTTCCAAACACAAATGTTGCTTCAGTGTCTTATTATTTATAGTGTTCATTTTGAAAATAAAGCAATGCATCAATATTATTTTTAGCAACTTCGACCTCAATGAGTAGTGGAAGATGTTAAAATGAAAGTTAAACAAAGGTCTATGTGATGGTATGAAATAGTTAAGTGTGACTTAAGCTAAATAGATTGACACTCGGAGCTATTCGATTACCAACTACTATTTTCGTGTAGTACAAATCAATTCGAAGAGTTAACTCTCATGTCATATATTTTTTTCTGGTTAGCGTTTTTTTAGCGAGTTGATTTTCTACGGGATGGGGTCGCTAACCCCATGCCCAACCCTCCTCCTTTACTCGGGCTCGGGACCGGCAGCTACCCCCAGAGGAGCTACAGGCGGAGTTCATGCCATATATGACACTGGGAAATCACTCAGCTTGCCCAATTACCATACTTTGGTTAGTTACTTACTTACTTACGCCTGTTACTCCCAATGGAGCATAGGCCGCCGACCAGCTTTCTCCAACCCACTCTGTCCTGGGCCTTCTTTTCTAGTTCTATCCAGTTCTTGTTCATTCTTCTCATGTCTGTCTCTATTTCTCGGCGTAATGTGTTCTTTGGTCTTCCTCTTCTCCTTTGACCTTCAGGATTCCATGTGAGGGCCTGTCTTGTGACACAATTAGGTGATTTCCTCAAAGTGTGTCCTATCCACTTCCAGCGCTTCTTTTTGATTTCTTCCTCTGCTGGAATCTGGTTTGTTCTCTCCCACATCCTGCCTGTCCACTGTATCTCGTGATTTCCTCCAGATGTTGACGTCTTCATGATCCAGTCGATGACCAGGAGAAAGAGAAAGGGTGAGAGTAAGCAACCTTGTCTAACACCGGTCTTTACTTCAAGCGAGTCGGTGAGTTGTCCTCCGTGGACGATTTGGCAGTTTAGTCCATCATAGGAGTTCCGTATGATATTTACTATTTTCTCAGGCACGCCGTAGTGTCGAAGAAGCTTCCATAGTGTCGTCCTGTCCACGCTATCAAATGGCTTCTCGTAGTCGATGAAGTTGATGTAGAGTGATGAATTCCATTCGATTGATTGTTCCAAAATGATCCGCGGAGTTGCGATTTGATCTGTGCACGATCTATCCTTACGAAATCCAGCTTGTTGATCTCGAAGTTGGGCGTCAACGGAATCCTCCATCCTGTTTAACAATACTCGGTTGAAGACTTTTCGTGGTATTGAGAGGAGAGTGATGCCCCTGTAGTTGTCGCACTTGCTGTGATCGCCTTTCTTTGGTATCTTGATGAGAAGTCCTTTTTTCCAGTCTGTTGGTACTTGTTCTTCATCCCGAATCTTACTGAAGAGGATGTGGAGTATCTTGGCAGTTGCTGTTACATTTGCTTTCATTGCCTCTGCCAGGATGTTGTCTGGTCCCGCTGCTTTGCCGCTCTTGACTTGTCTAATGGCCATGCTGATCTCTTCAATTGTTGGTGGGCCAATATCGATTGGGAGGTCCGTGGGTGCTGCTTCGATGTTGGGTGGGTTCAGTGGGGCTGGTCGATTCAAGAGTTCTTTGATGTGTTCTACCCACCTGTTTCGTTGTTCTTCAATGTCGGTGATTACTTTGCCTTCCTTGCTTTTCACTGGTCTTTCTGGTTTACGGTAATTTCCAGCAAGTTTCTTTGTTGTATCATACAGTTGTCTCATGTTTCCTTCTCTTGCAGCCTTTTCCGCTGTCGTTGCTAAATCTTCCACATATTTACGTTTGTCGGTTCTGATGCTCCTCTTCACTTGCTTGTTTGCCTCTGTGTATTCGGCTTGTGCCTTGGCTTTTCCCGCTCTTGTTCGGCTGATATTGATTGCTGCCTTCTTGTCCCTCCTTGCTTCTATCTTATCCAGTGTACCAACAGTGATCCATTCCTTGTGATGGTGCTTCTTTTGGCCCAGAATCTCTTGACACGTTGAAACGATTGCCTCCTTGATACCTTTCCAGTTGCTCTCCATGGTAGTCCCCTCTCCATTGAGTAGATCATGAAAAGCCTGGAACCTGTTGCTGAGGGCTATGTTGAATTTTTTGAGTTTGTCATCATCTCGGAGAAAGGCCGTATTAAACATTTGTGATGTTGTCCGCGCCGTTGTCCAGTGCTTCTTGAGTTTTAGTTTCATCTTGGCGACCGGTAAATGATGATCGGATGCTATATGAGCTCCTCTTCTGGTTCTCACATCCTCCATCGTCCTCCTGAACTTTTTGTTGATGCAGATATGGTCGATTTGATTCTGTGTAGTGTGATCCGGTAAAATCCAAGTGGCTTTGTGTATGTTTTTGTGTGGAAATATGGTGCCACCTATGACCAGTTTATTGAAGGCACATAGGTTTGCAAATCTCTCACCATTTTCGTTCCTTCCTCCTAGTCCATGTCGTCCCATGACGTCTTCGTATCCAGTGTTGTCCATTGCAACCTTGGCATTGAAATCTCCCATCAGAATTGTCAGGTCCTTGGTTGGGCACTTCTCGAAGATCGACTGCAGCCTATCGTAGAATTGGTCTTTAGCGTCTTCATCGTAGTCGTTGGTAGGTGCATAGCATTGGATGACGTTCATTGTAATGCCCTCTCTCTTTGTTCTGAAGGAGGCTTTGATGATCCTTGGTCCATGAGATTCCCATCCTATAAGTGCATTTTGTGCTTTTCGGACAGCATCAATTCAACACCTTGTGTATGTGGGGCATTTTCTTCTTCATGACCGGAGTATAACAGAAGTTCTCCTGAAGACAGACGTTGTTGTCCGACCTGCGTCCAGTGTGTTTCGCTGATTCCAAGAACCTCCAGGTTGTATTTTCTCATTTCTGCAGCGATTTGGAAGACTCTTCCGGTCTCTCACACTGTTCGGACATTCCATGTACCTATAGCCTAGCCTTTGTTGTCTAATTTGTGTCCAATAAGTTTCGCTGATTCCGAGTACTGCCAAGTTGTATCTCCTCATTTCCATTGCTATTTGGCTGGTCTTTCCTGTCTCCCACACTGTTCGGACATTCTTTGTACCTATAAAAATTGTCGCTCGGGTTGTTAGAAGCTGTATCGGCCTCATGACTTCCGAAGGAACTCGGCTTTCATCATGAGACGTCATAATTATTCCTTCTACTCCCAGGGCAGAGTTTAAATGGTTTGAATGATTTTTTCTGGTTAGTGTTTTTTTAGCGAGTTGATTTTCTACGGGATGGGCTCGCTAACTCCATGCCCAACCCTCCTCCTTTACCCGGGCTTGGGACCGGCAGCAACCCCCAGAAGAGCTACAGGCGGAGTTACCATACTTTAGTTGCCGATCTTGTAATATTATGAACAGACAGCTGACATTAACTCCTTTGACTCCTACTAACAGACCTATTCTTCAAAATGGTAGTCAGGAATTAATAGTTGAACTAATGCAGGTGGTAAATCAGTTTTCGGATTATGAAATCGTTTCCGTAGATTTGTACTTTTAACTATTTTGTTCGGTTAATGTGATAATAAAGAACCCAAATTCTCTTACGATGATTAAATAAAGTTCAGTTTGTCTAGAGTAATCTGTAGCTCTAAAATAACAAACTAACTAAATTCAGTCAGTTTTGGAACGTACAAGAAGGTTTATTGAACAGGCTTTCGCTTCTTCTCAAATTATAGAAAACGGACATTTGTGCAGAACGTAACTGCATAACTTCATTGATTTACAGTTGGAGTTTATAGAGTACGATGAATCATGAACTTGTGAATAGAGTTGGAGAATTAAAAAGCTCAGGAGTCAAAAAAGCTTTGTGATACAGGTCAAATGAATTGACTACTTATATTTAGGGCCTTATCATAAGCACTGATATCATTGATTCATCTTTCTGATGAAAGTGAGAAAATTTCAGTTAATAAATATTCTCTTAAGCTTTAATATTTCAAATCGAACTCTCTAACGTCAAGCGAATTCACTGTCAGGACGGCTTCAAAGGATACGACGGGGCCTCCAGAGGTTTTGAAGGAGCCGAAAAGATTTTGTCCAGTCCAGAACCTAACAGAGTTTTCTAGAATACCAACATACGTGCTATGATTGGACAATTGCATAATTTTCTTACTTGCAAATAAGCTGGATAGCCAATACTAAAAACTATAAATACCCCCGTTTTTCTGTACATTTTTTACTTCTACCTAATAACCACTTCCCTTGTTTCTTCCGTCTTTTGATTTGCTACTTTGGGGTTCTACACTTTCAATGACCGATAGTTGTATACCGTATTCCTCTGTAATCAGATAGAAAACGTAACAGTTACCTGTTATGATTTATATTTCAATGTATTCTTATAGTCATTATATCGCTAATTATTAGAATTTTAGTACTTATTTAGTACTTATACGCGTTATCCACTCGGCTATCAGGACTCAGTGGTCGAGTGGACAACGCGATGGCGTTTGAAGCGAGGGTACTGGATTCGAGTCCCAAAGTGAACATCAACTTTGAGATGCAGGTACATCCAGCTGACGAGTCCCAAATAGGACGAAACGCGCGTCCTGGATTCCACTGCTAGCCACTATCCATCTCTGCTTACCATGCTTGTGAATTAAGGCTATATTGAGGCAATACGCACAGTATGCACATATGCCAATTAGAGACTGACCAGTTGCAGTCCTAACAAATCGATGGGAAGATTCAAACAAACAATACGGAATGAATTTGAATGGCATACTGTTTATGATAAATTAAAGTGTAACATTTGATAACGTTTGTTATATGGACTATTTTTTATTGACGACTGTATATACTGCAAATGAGAAGTAAAATGCATTCAACTTTCAGACAATCGATCAATCAATTTTCATACATGATTTTTAATGTGATGTCGATACTGGTAAACGGAAATAATTTTTGTTTACTTAGCTGCCAATTTCTAGTACTTCATTACACCTGTTCCCCCTCATGGAGCATAGGCCCCCAACTGGGGTTACCACTTTTTGTCAGGGTTCTTTTCTACTGGACGAAATCGCTAACCTGATGGCCAATCCTTCTCCTTTGACCGATTTCGGAACCGAAGTAGCTTTGAAAGGGCTCTAGGCGGAGTTTTCCAATGCTCACAATTTTTATAAAATATCTGAGAAAATAGGTGAACTAATTCAATCCCTATCTCTACAGAGTTGTAACTAACTTAGTTTAACTTGTCTTAGTAATTACCTTCTTACTTTAACTAAGAGAAATATAATGAAACTTAAATTTGTATGAGTGTGTAGTGTTATTAAAACCCCTTTTACATATTCTGTTCGTAATTCATCAAACGTTGGCTTCAATTTTATCTCTTTAGATCCCTTGAGAAACCTCTTATTCGTCAGTTGAGTGAACGACAACATCGAGCTATGTTTTCCACACCTGATGATTTGTCATTAACGAATAGTCCTGCAGTGTATTCCCCTCGCAATACAATCCCTTACAGTTCACCTCATCAAAGTCCTAGGTCTGATCATTTTCAGAAACAAAATGTATTCAGTTCCCATAGACCATCATTAACTGTCACTTCGAGTTTTTCTGGTTCTTCGTTCTCTTCTGGTTGGTGTTCAGGTGGAGACTTATCTTCACATAGTTCTCCGGGTTCTGGTAGTTCATCTGCTGCATCAGTTCCTCGACCTTGTGATTCTTCTCATTCATCTCTAAATCCATTTCAACAGGGACGTTTTGGTAGCCTACGGGCTTCCTATCATTCGGCTACTCAGTTCCTCAATTCGAATTTAGATAACTCATCAGTGAAAGTGACGTTCGCCCGTCAAGAAGCAGCTAAATCTACATTTATCACACAAAATTCAAATGTGTCCCAATGTAGACACAGCGATCCTATTCGACACGCTAAAGTAAGTTGATATTCTATCCAATACCTAATTTTATGCACTAAGTTTGTGTTTGTCGATCAGTAAAGAAATGAGATTATCGACTGTAGCCTTAGTAGCACTTACCTGGTTTTTTTTATTTTATTTAAACACATATATATTGGTACAAAAGGGCACCAGGTACATATGCGCCACACAAAATAATGAAAGTAGGTAGATAAAGGATGAAAAGATAAGGCGGGCTGAAATGTACAACCAGAAGATTCTTTCAGTTAGGAAAGTTAGAACCATTCTTTATGTAGAAAGTAAAGGAAGGTTGCAGCAGGATCGCCACTGGCTTCTATTCTGAGCCATATCCGATAACGTCTCTAGCCACTGTGTTGCACTATCTCTCGGACCCCAACCAGGGAGTCGTGAAGGTCCAACGGAAGCTAGCCCTTTGCAGCTCTCTTTCATGCCACGACACCATGTCATACACTGACCTCCTCTCCGCTTTCTCCAACCAGTCCCAGGGTCGGCAAATAATGCACGACGCGGAAGTCTCTGGGACGACATTCGTAAAACATGTCCGAGCCACCGAAGTCGGTGTTTCAAGATGGTGACACCAATTGAATTATCGTCTCTGCGCCCGAACACACGATGCCGAACCTCTGCATTACTAACATGGTGTTGCCACTGGATGTCAGCAATCCTTCGGAGACAACGATGATCGAACACAGAGAGACGTCTAACATCCTCAACTCGGAGAGGCCAGGTTTCACAAGCATAGAGCAAAACTGCTCTCACCGACGCGTTGTAGATCCGACCTTTTACAGCCAGACTAACATCACGAAGGCGCCAAAGATGGCCCAGATTGGCATAAGCCGCTCTGGCTTTCATTAAACGTGCATCAATCTCATCACTCACGCCACCACCAGCACTTATATAGCTACCTAGATACACGAACTTCTCAACTACTTCGATCTCCTCACCATCCAGGGTGAGTACAGGATGAGAATCCTGCCAGTCTTGTAGAAGTACTTTGCACTTGGAGGGTGCAAAGCACATGCCGTACCTGCGGACACTGATTGCCAACTGATTAAGTGCTGATTGCATGCCTTGGGCATTATCGCACAGTAAGACAATATCATCCGCATACTCGAGGTCGAGAAGTCGTTCTCCAGGCAACATATCCACACCGCCATTACTTACATCCATCAGAGCTGTTTCTAGGATGTCGTCGATGGCAAAGTTGAAGAGGAATGGGGAGATCGGGCAACCCTGCCTAACCCCACTGCTCGAATGGAACAAGGGAGAAAGGTGGTTGTATGCCCTCACTCTGCCTGAGGTGTTCGTATACAGGGCTTTTAAGATGTTAATGAACTTCTCAGGCACACCCTTCTTCAATAGACAATCCCAGAGAACAGTCCTGTCCAACGAATCGAAGGCAGCCCTGATATCAAGAAACACTACGATTGTTGGCCTGCGATAAGTATGACGGTGTTCTAACATTTGGCGGAGGGTGAAGATGTGATCAATGCATCCTCGACCAGAACGAAAACCAGCCTGCTCCTCGCGAGTCAATCGTTCTCGGGTTTTAAACAACCTACGAAGAATGATAGAAGCCAATAGTTTGGACGCGATCGAAAGTAGACTTATCCCCCGATAGTTATTGCAGGAACAACGTGAACCCTTTTTAAAGATAGGGACGACTATTGACTCATTCCAAAATGTTGGAACACTTTCTTCCTCCCAAACCTTTGCAAACAACGCAGTCAGTTCCTTAGCCAGAAAGTCACCACCATCTTTAAAAAGAGCCGGAGGTAAGTCATCTGGGCCAGGTGATTTATAACGTTTCAAGAGTTGGAGTTCCTTGCGGACTTCCGCCTCGTTTGGTGGATCAGTCGTCACCGGCCATGGGGAGCAGGACAAGCTGGTTGATGTTGCCGGAGCAGCAGGCCAGTTGAACTGCCCTTCGAAAAATTCCGCCCATCGTCCAAGACGTCGACAGATGTTAGTGATTGGCATCCCGTCATCCTCGTAGATTGTTTCACTCACACCAGACTTCTTGCTGCCAGTGGCTCGGATGAGTTGGAAGAGCTTCCGGCAGTTACCAGATGCAGCTGCTGCTTCCATCTCATTAGCACGCTCCGACCACCAGGCTTCCCGGTCCTTACACAAGCTTTGCCCAATTTCATTACGTAACAGCCTTCGTTTGTGGTCAAACTCACGGTCACCCGGAGTAGACCGACGGGCTTCCATCAGTTGTAAGGAGCCAGAAGAAACCCAGTGCTTGTAAGCGGGACGTTTCGCGAAGCCGCAAGCGGCTTTACTCGCCATTTTCATGGCGTCATGAAGATGCAACCAATGCTTACCTATACTTTTCGGTGGGGTGGTAGCTAGCCTAGAGGCTAGCTCCGCTCGATACTTACTTGCAACAGAAGTTGCAGCCAGTTTACTAATATCAATCCGTTGGTGGTGGTCAATCCTTCGGCCACTGAAAAGTAAGGTGAGATTGGCGCAGACCAGGGCATGATCAGACTCCAGATAGGTACTCCAAAAGGAGCGGCAGTCTTGTACACAACCACGCCAGCGGTAGCTGATCGCGATGTGATCAATCTGAGTCCAGGCTTGGGATGCAGAGGGAGGACGCCAGGTGGCACACCGGCGACACACCGATATTAAAATCTGGAATTGCTTCCGTATATAAAGCAAAACTATCATATAGAGTAGTTATTAATTTAATATAAAAATATACTGTTTGTTTACTCCAATGTTGTTTCTTGTTTGAAAATTTGAAATTTTCTCACTCTGTTTTAGATTTCAAATGATACTCGAACTGTTAGTTCCGTTGTACCTAACCTTCAAAATTCCAACAACAATTTGTCTGCATCAATTCAAACTCCTGCTTTTACCCCACCGCCACCACAGACTGCTGTTCAAAAGATGGACTGTGATAAATTTTCAATTCAAGCAAATGCTTTAGTATCATCAGGTCAAGTTAAGCTACGTAGGCATAGTCATCGATTTGCCGTTCAACATGTAACTTCGCCAAAAAGTCCAGCTGAAAGTAGTGATGAAAAATCCAAGAATTATTAACCAGTGTTGAATTTCTAGTATTTCGATGGCAAGATGTCTTTTTCCTTCTATTTTTTGTCAAAATTTACGTTTATTCAACCATCATCCCGATCATTTGAGATGGAATCGAACAAATTGAAATACTGTGATTGTTATACATATATATTTTTTTTCTGAGTACCACTGGTATTCGAAATTATACTCATGGGGAAACTTGTTACAATTTTTCAATGTAATTCGATTCTCCCGGTTATTATTAACTTGTTAAATTTCATGTATTTCTGTTCATATTTCTCTTTATTCAATTCACCTTTTGTTGTATTGCCTTGGTCGTTATAGTTATTTTCTCTATTATTTAATGAATAATTAGTATCATTGTTACTTTATACATACATTACATATCTCAATAAATTTTTCATCCATCATATAGTATTACAATTTGTTCGTATTGAAGTTGATCATATATTATATGATAGCTTCACTATGCCCCACATTCCTTGTAATACAATACACTCGTGTTTGTTGTAATAATACAATTGTTATTGAAGCCAGTTACATTTTTTTAACGGTATCCATGGTATCAGTATTGTGTTTTTCTTCGTTTATGACAATTACTATAACTTGTGATCGTGTCTTCCTTTCTTTTCTCTACCATAACTTTTCATAAACTGATCAATTTATTTATGGATTTCTTTTTTAAAGAGAGTATGCACATAAAACTTCCTCACTTATGTGTATGTGGGTCTATGCAATCAAAAGCTTTTCTTTGTCTATATAAACATATGTTGCTAAACCTATTCATCAACTAATTAATTTGTACAGTTCTCTTAAGTTACCCTTGTTTTCTTTGTTTCTTTATTATGATTGGCTTTTTTGTTGATTGGTTACACATTATACGCACTTATGTTTTAGTCTTTTTCTAAAATGTATCGTTAATTCGTCTTGGCTTTATTGTTACATAATTTGCTGTACTTTTCCAAACATTGTGTAACCAAGGAAATTGAAAAATTCATTATTTACCACTTTATTTATTTATATGCCTCTACCATTGTTCATTGGCTCTTCTCTCAAATTTATTTCTATCTGCTATATTATTATTAACTCCCTGATTTCAAGTTTTTCATCTCATATATATATATATATATATATATATATATATATATTGTATGCTCGTGCGATCAATTTATAAAGATTTCTTTCATCTGTGACTGATTTTTATCATTGGTTGTGTTTTAAAGGCGTGGGGTTGAGGGGAGCTGTTAAGAAGTTACTTAGTTTCACCGTTTATTGCTATTTTTCTGTTCATTTCACCGTCATCTAAGCTTTTTCGTCATCACTGCACTACCAGTTGATATAGTCAAGTAAATGATAAACTTTTAGGAAGTTTTATTGATTATGTACCTACTTAATTGAAACAGGAGTAAGATTCTCAGGATTGGTTGTACAAATGTTACTGAATTTAAGAAGTACTATTTAACAACCTGGTTCAGTTTTCTTCATTAAATTAATTTTACATGTCAGCATGGAGTTATGCAAGATGGTCGCGCAATCCCGTGGATTGATTGAAGTTAGACATAAACACAATTGAGTTTCGGCTCTGTAGTCCAGAGTTTAAGCGTTTACGCGAAACCGAAGGTCCTGAGTTTCATCAACGGATCGCTGACCCACTGCCGACCAGCCCCATAATATAACAAAGCATGCATCCAATGCTCCCATGTTTCCAATGGTAGTCTCGTTTATATCGGGTCATAATTTCAATAATCCTATATGTTTTGAGAATGCACAGAGTTGATAGGTTTCGCAGTTGTGTAAACTATCTGCTTTGTTAAGGTAAACAAGAAAAATATGTTTATACTTCGTGAAATAAAAGTCTTCCTTGCTTTATCTAATTCATGGATTTATGAGATAGACGTTTTATTTACCTATCTAGTCAGCTCATTGCAAGTATCGATATGTTGTGTGATAGTTGTCTGCCGATCGATTTCAGAATTTTATGCTTCAGTCGTATAAAATCAATATGTTTGTTGACTAAATATTACTTTTGCTTCCCTTATTTTAACGTCAGTCGATTTCCCTACGTTCAACAAATTTTCCTATTCCATATTTTATTGCATCGTAACTTGTCAACTAGAGTTATATAAATTTAAGTAATCCATCATTTCTTTTATATTCACAATCCCAGTGTTCTGGAACCATGAATATATCTGGTTTAGTAATGCATTTCATTAGTCAGTCAGTTACAACGTAGAACTTCGTACGTACGTACATCAGTTCGAGTTGCCATACCACATTAGCACAGAGATGAAATTGTCGATTCAAATCCCATATTGGTAGAAGTAGAAAGAGTATAAGTATTACGTGGAAGATAAGGGTTTGAAGATGTTATTGAAGGAGTATAATACGGTGAAATAAATTTGGAAAGAGAAAAAGGATACGGACATGAAGAATTCAGAAGATTAGAATTTGGTAGAACACAAAGAGTGGATGCACCTTCGCCATTGCAAACGATTTTGAGCCATGTCATTCAAGGTCTCTAACCATCGGTTGCTGTCATCTCGCGAATCCCAACCAGGTAGTCTGCACCTACCAACATGGCTCAGTCCACTTGTCAGTGACTTCATGGATTTATGCCATGTTTTGGTTTGGCCGCCCCTAGCTTTCTTCCAACCTACTCCTACACCATAAAGCATTGCACGTCGAGGCAGTCGGTGGTTGGGCATACGTAACACGTGTCCCAGCCACCTCAACTGATGAAGTTCCACTACTTCAATCGATTTGCCATCCTTACCTAGTACCCGTTTCCTAACATCTGCATTAATTACCCGGTGGTCCCAGGATATACGAGCAATGCGTCGAAGACGACTATGATCGAACACTAGTAGCCTACGAATATCCTCTACTCTTATCGGCCATAAAGTAGGACGGAACGAACTGCTGCACAGTAAACCCGTCCTTTTGTTGTTAGACGGATATCTCGCCTACGCCATAAATGACGCAAGTTGGCGAAAGCTAGACGAGCCTTCTGTATCCGTGCTGAGATTTCGTCACACACCAGACCACAAGGGCTGATGAGACTCCCAAGATAAGTGAAGTGGTCAACACGCTCAACTACTACACTCCCTATCATTAGTTCAGGTGTTGATGCAACCCAATCCTGAAGTAACATTTTGCACTTCGAGGGAGAGAATCGCATCCCGAACATGCCTGAATTGTTGCTTATAGTGATCAGAAGACTCTGCATTTTGTCAGCGTCTTCACCGAATGAAACTATGTCGTCGGCGTATTCTAAGTCAACAAGTGAGAATCCCGGTAAAAGTTCAACTCCAGGAGATTGAGATGATGAAAGTGATATCTCTAAAAGCATGTCAACGACAAAGTAAAACAAGAATGGGGAGAGTGGAAAGCCCTGACGAACACCACTTGAGGTAACCAATTCTGATGACAGTTCGCCATAGGCTCTAACTCGACCAGTTGTGTTCGAGTAGAGAGCCTTTATGAGGTTAATGTACTTTTTGGTACTCCTTTCACTGACAAACACTGCCATAGAACCTCACGATCAACGGAGTCAAATGCCGCCTTAAGGTCAAGAAATACTACTATTGTGGGACGTCTGAATGTATGCCTATGTTCTAGGACCTGACGTAGAATGAATATCTGGTCTATGCAACCACGTCCAGGTCGGAAACCAGCCTGGTTTTCTCTAGTCTGCTCTTCACGAGCTTTGGTTAGGCGTCCAAGTATTATTGAAGCTAATATTTTAGACACTATATTAGTCAAACTGATTCCTCTGTGATTGTCACAGGACTTTTGTCCTTTCTTATAGACTGGCACTATCAGTGATTGGGACCAGTCAGATGGAATTACGTCCAGTTCCCAGATTCTACATAAGACCTCAGTCAATCTCGTTGCTAGTACTGGACCACCATCCTTAAAAATCTCAGGGGTAAACCTGTCAGGGCCTGCTGCTCTCCCTCGCTTTAGATTTCCTATAGCTTTTTCAACCTCGTAGAGAGTTGGAGGACTTACCTCAATTTGCCATTCAGGACGACTGGGGATCGTGGGTAACTGAAGTGTGGCTGAAGGCCAGTTGAACTGATCCCTAAAGTTTTCTGCCCATCGACCCAATCTCCTGGATTGAGAATGAATAATATGCCCATCTTTATCTGAGATGGTTTCACTGATATTCGGGTTCCTAATACCGGTTTATTTAATAAGTTTGAATAGCTGTCTGCTGTTACCTATTGCCGCTGCTTTATCCATCTCTCTTGCTTTCCCTACCCACCACTGTTCACGATCATTGCGTAGGCTTCTTATTAACCTGCACTTAAGCTGAATCCTCTCTTTGTTATGTACAGAGCCAGGTGGGATGAGTTTTCGAGCATCTATCAGTGCGGAAGATGCTGCCGAGATCCATTGTTTCTCCCTAACGTTATGGTTTACCTTACTAGCGGACATCACTGCTGTTTCCACAGCTTTTCGGATGTCATTCCACGCTGCCTCGGGGTGGACACAACTTACATGGCTGCCTAACTGTTTTTCTATTTGTTCCTGAAATATATTCTTAGCTTGCTTATCATTCAGCAAAACCCTTAGAGGCTTCCCTGCAGTGTCTTTCCTACGTCCAGTAAGACGCAGACAGATACGTGCTCGCACTAGAGCATGATCTGAATCTAAACATGTGCTCCAGAATGAGCGACAGTCTTCTATCGAGCCCCTCCATCGGTGCCTGATAGCGATGTGATCTAATTGGGTCCAACGTTGGGACGAATTCGGGGGTTGCCATGTCAAAAGATGTTTTTCCTTATGCTTAAAGTTAGTATTTGCAATAAATAGGTGGTTATCTGAGCACAGCTGCAACAGACGGTCGCCATTATCTGTTCTTTTCGACATGACACCATAAGATCCACCCAGGTGTCTTTCCCTTTCACTTAGTTTACCTACTTGAGCATTAAAGTCACCAGCCACTATTACTACATCAGAACGCCTAGCTTTTCGGAGAAGGTCAGAAAGTTTCCTGTAGAACTCATCTTTTATATCGTCTGAGCTGCAGTCCGTGGGAGAGTAGGCAGAGACGACGAAGAAGCAACGACGAGTTTCCCTATCTTTCCGGGTCCTTATTGATCCGTTTAGTCGGACAGCGCATAGACGACTGTCTACTGGGATCCAGTCTAAAAGAGCTAGTTCTGCCCTAGGACTTAATGCTATACCTACTCCAGCGAGGCCACGGGAAGCAGCATCAGGGCTTCCAGATACACGAAGCGTGTATCGAGATGGTTCTTTATTTTAATTAGGTGCGGTCAAATGAATGACACTACTCGGATCTTGTATGCGCGTTTCGGAGACGCAGCACACATCGATGGTGTAAGATTTATGCTGGTTGTCTGAAGGAAACACCTTACTGCCGTCACACCTCTGTACAGTCGGCAGTACGACTTCGCCTTCGGACCTTGGGATTGATACTTTTATTCTTACCGCTCTTCAACCGACCTGTCTGGCATGGTAGGACCTCGAGGAACGATTGTTCCAGCCAGCATAGCTCGATTGCTTCATCACGATAGGCAAGCCCGACCACCACGTCAAGGTAGCAGCAACGGTCATTAAATACGTAAGAATTCATGTCTCATTCAGATGACTATTGCATTCCTCATTACGTCATTGGACGGAAATCACAATTCGATTGACCGTTGATTTTTTAGTTGTCTTCTAATACAGCATCGAATCAGAAACTATTAGTCAAAATCTTTTCATAAGTTAAGCTTTATTATTGTTAACTATTGAAAATATAAGTTAGTATACAATTCTATTTTCGTTTGAATAAAGAAACATATGGTTAACCTAATTTTAATAAATCATAGTTCACAGCACGTCATTACGCAAGTTATTTATGTTCATTTAGTTTGTGTTGTATTTATTAGGACGTAATTGTTTTATCATTAAGTCGATTCATCGCCAGAGTGCACAGATACGTCAAAATCTGGAGTTCTGATCCGGACATCTGATCTGTGAACTTGAATTCGTTCTTTTGGACTCTGTGTTCTCGTTCTATATGAAACCTTCATATCATCCTGGCTACTTGATTCTTGTGATGTTTGATCATTGGACAATCGATTCGGAGATAAACTCTTATAATTAACATGTTTGCGTTGCCGTTCATGTGACGTTACAGTACGTCGTCCATTAGACTTAAGGCTGGTAACATCTCGTGATTCACGTATTATTCTCCGTCTGGGTGATAACGAGCACGCATATGCTCTTCGGCTTGGTGATGTAGACTTAACTAAACTAAGTTCACCTCTTCTCCGGTCCAATTCAGCGTTAAGAAGTCTACCTTCTGTTTCAGCCTGTGATCGAAGCTTTTAAATGGAACAGAAGTAAAAATGCAATCAAACCATAGTTAATTCTTATTTTTTTTAAAAACATTTTACCCGATTCATGCAACTAGTAACTTGAACTGACCCTGATAGTGGAAAAATGAGCTTAAATAACTGAGAGCTTGAAGTTCGCTTCCGAACTATTCCCTAAATCTTGAACACAGTCTTTAAACATTATCTTGCTTAGTGATTTTGCAGAGAGATAATTTGTATAGTTATTTTCAGCCTCAAACATTTGAGAAACTATTCAAGTCAGTAACCATACATTTGTCTCGTCCTTGTTTAAAGTACTTAGTTAATATTCTCCAGTTATTTATTTCTGCCAATTAATGAAGCAAGATAAATAAAGCTTATTGGACTTGTTTTGAATGGATCTATCATAAGCACAGAGATATAATGACTTTAGTAAGTAATTAATACATAAATCGACCTACTAAGGTATCTTTTTATCCGTATCACAATTTATTTTTTCAGTCATCTTAAGTTCAGCTTAGTAATTACTTTGTTCTTAATTGCCTTCATCAACACTTACTCGAATCGCCTTGGTTAAACTGAGCATAATTTCAGCTAGTTTGTATTCCTCTCTTGTCACCACTCGACGTTTCTCCATCTGCTCTGCGAGATGTTGGATCTAAATTTGTGAAAACAACTCAACATGAGAAACTTATTGAATAATCGACATTATCTTAAACAAGTAGTAATCCTTGGCTGCGATTAGTCTTTACCGGTGATTGTATGTCTGATCTGTACTGAATTATGATGGTAGTAAGTTATTTCTTATGAGTAACCAATACGACTACTGACTTTCTATCGAATAAATGAATGGTTAGAAAATGTTGATCATAGAGTTTAAATTGTGCAAAACCAATGTTGTAAAGCACGAGGAGATTACTTAAAGAAGTTTGTATATGACTGGTCTCCAAATACTTTTCTTTGGACTGTATGATCATGCTTCCAAGTGGATGAGACCAACTGGATTAGTTTATTTTTCTCAGGCTATTTAAGATATTCCCCCACTTTTAGCAACACATGTCCTATCTTTCAGTTGGTTACAAAATTACGAAAGATCATGATCAGATAGATTTATTATATTAGTCTACAGTCATCAGATTTCAGTCTGAACTTCATCAGAAGGTGCAAATTTCAAAGGATAAAATGTAAGACAACTACAGTGTTTGGTTAAACGCTTGAGGTGACGGTCGCAGTTGCACTGATTTATATATTTAGTTTGCTGTACACCTTGAATGTTTCGTTTCGTATTTTTCATTCCTATGATTAGTATTCCATTACAATTGTAATATTTTTCTCCATATCTTTTCATCGTTATAATTTCCTCCGATGTAAGGTGTGGTATCTTTGATCTATATACACATGTCCCAAGTTATTGGTCGTATATAACTGACTCTTGACAGAATATATTGTTATTATTTCAACCCTCAAACTTCTGATTAACAATAATAAAATTCCTATCTATGTTCCGGAGATAAGTTTCAACTTATGTTGGACCCTCCTTACCTCATTGTGATTGCTTTTAGGCTTCTAATTACTATTGTATGAGATGTTCTTATTTTTAAAACGCATGATGGTCTAACTTCAATTGACTCATGATTTCAACTATATATAAAACAAATTATAAGGTGAAGATTGTAAATGATTATGACGAGTCGCAAATAGGACGAAACGCGCGTCCTGGATTCCACTGCTAGCCACTATCCATCTCTGCTTACCATCCTTGTGAAATAAGGCTATATTGAGGCAATACGCACAGTATGCACATATGCCAATTAGAGACTGACCAGTTGCAGTCCTAATAAATCGATGGGAAGATTCAAACAAACAATACTGAATGAATTTATTGACTATGATTTCTTTAAATAATTTTAGCCACAAGTAGAATGTTCTTCTGAAAGCACTAAGACCACACATTAAAATATATATCATTCTCATTTCATTAATCAAAAAGCATTATTTTCACTTTTTCAACGTTAAAGCACCTCAGTGTATGTTGTTGTAATGAATTTTATTTCAAGTTCAAAATTTTCTCTTACCTCTGCAGACTCTGTTCCACAGTGTTTTAAAGTAGAAATAATCCTTCTGATCAATGATTCTAAATCACCTCTATGTCCATTCATTCTTGATTCAAGATTTGGTGCTTGTTTTTTAGCTGAATAATAACGACGTTTCCATTCATCTCGAGCTAAAACAGTAATTTATAGATAATTGTTAGTCGCCTTATTTTTTTCAATAGTTGACCGATAGTTAAAACAATGAAAAAAGACATTGAATAGCTTAACGTCGAGCATATTTGACACGAAGAGTAATATTTAGTAATCTTTTTTAGATAAGAAAATTAATCAAGTACACTTTGATTTCATGCTGAGGTTTATTGTTGACTAAAATAACAATCAGTAATTCTTCAGTATTTTACCTACTGGATGTGCAAAAAAGTGGTTTGCTTATTTCTGGAATAAACGCCTCTTTATAACAATGATTGAATAGTATGAAATACAGGTATCTAACATGGGTAATAATGTTTTATGCTTGAATATTTGAAATAATATAAAACAATCTTTCATTTCCTATGAAGAATCAATCATCTTATGGCAATCCACCCACTTTGAGGTTCTTGGGTTTTATCTTTAGTGAGATAGTTTGCCTAGTGATCACCCGTTTCCAATAGTTGTCTAAATAAAATCATTCCACGATACAAAGTACAATTACGCTTATTTACATTAAGACGTTTGAGTTTTTTTTCAGTTAATCCATTATTTGTATCACCTAACAATCCATTTGTATTACTTAATAAGTACAATTTCGCTATCATTGAAAACATTTTATATTATCACGTTTATAATAATTGAGTCTTATCGAAATTCCTAATCGGACTTAAAATTTTTCGAACCATTCTAAATATTTCTGTAACTAGATTTATAGAAATCTAAATCTCTCATCTAAAAATATTGATCATTATATATCTACTCAGTTAGAATAGTTCTTGGCCAACACAGCCTAATGTATATGATTTATGCTTGAAAACAGTAAAAAATATATCTGAATCCAGGATTTTTTCTTCTAATCTATTATTAAATTGCTTTTCATACAACCGGTAGAGAGGAACTGTACAGTCTGCACTGAAAACGTTTGTCAACAGTAACTTAATGTGAAGTTGTGTTTGTACACCGTAATATTTCATGACTGCATTTCCTATTTGTATAACTTAACTCATAGATTTCGATTGTTGGTTAATTTCAGCCGATAATTGACCTGCGAAATCTTTTGTGACAAAGTTCACTGCCAGGTTTGTTTTGTACTAGCGTACTAAATTTATCCTTCCAAAATAAAGTCACTAACAGAAACATTGGACATCACTGATCGTGAATAGATTAAATGATATTTTTCTAAGTGAGGACATTTTATGTATTTCGAGGGTAATTATCATTATGAATGGAGCTTAGTTTGATGGAGAAGGAAATAATGAACTCACAAAAATACCTCAATAATAATTGCGTTTTCATTGGCATCCAAATTCATTTTCCAATAGTTGAGTAGAAGATTACAATCTTTGTAGTCAACTAATTTTCCAATAAAACAGTAAATCACTTAAGACATTCGTTAAGAAGTTTATCACCTAAGCATTGAATTGTTGTGATTCAAATTACGGTCTAAGGGTATAGTATTCATTGTAAAGCCTGTTCGGACTGATTTCAAGCTCATTTAGAATCATTTGTAAGTTTACACAGTTGAGACTGAAATTCAATTTGCTTACACACGACCTTTAATATTTCAATAACTAACGTCAGTTCATTGTGAAAAATGTTTTCAGGGTAATATCTAACATACCGCGTGCTTTTTCATTCCAACGTTAAAACGAAATTTCTTTCAAAACAAGTTATTTAAGTTTCTGATAGAAAATTAGTCAAGTATAACTGCATATTTACTCTTTATATTTTAATGTACACTGAATGACAAAAAGTTTGAAATTTTACAAGCATGAATACATATAGTAGTTTCTTGTATACTATTTATTTTGGAGAGAAATTTGATAAGCGAAATCACATTGTTAGCAAACAATTGTATTGTAATATAAATTTTTATCTTTCGGCATGTGTTCATATAAAATCATAAATAATAAAATTGTTAGAAAATGTGATCAATAATGTTTTCGTTTCATTTTTAACCTAACTAGTCAAACTGGTGATCGCTTCTTAAATATAGGGTTAACATGATCTAAGAGTTTATTAAATCAATTATCATTTGTACTAGTTATACATTTCCCTTACTTCACCACGTATGAGATATCGGTTTTAACTTTTTTTTTCTGAATTAAATAACACTTCCAGATTTTTATAAATTATGACATTTTGGCAGTATGCACGGTTGTTAACTTATTCAAAGTTCACATTAAGTATGTCAAGATTCAACGGTTAATAAGTTACATGTGATTCTAAGATATTTATTTACTTGTGTATTTTATATTATCGACGATATTAATTCCGTTAGTTAGTCATAAACAATTTAAAATCTAGCATATATATGCATCAGTTCATGTTACTACAACACAGCATGCCAAGATGAAATCATTAATAGAAATCTCAAATTAGTAACATGATCAGTAGTAGCATAGAAGATCAGTCATACAAATTATCATTCAAAAATGAAGGGTAGATTCGCGAAATAAAGTATGGAATAATTACAAAACTCGAGATCAAGGAGGAAACAAATGGTTAATGAAACTACTCTGTCGTGACTGATTTTTAGTCACTTCAGTTGCGATCTTCAACTGTTATGGAAAATGTGCGAAACCCAAATTTATTGTCCGTACCCTCGAACAGTCAGTAACTTCATGGGCTGATTTCGAGTCTTAGTTTGCTGACCCATAGAATTCTTCCAACCCACTCCTATACTGTTAGGCATCAGGGGTCGAGGTAAGTGGTAGTTGCGATTACACAATCTATTGCCCAACTACTTTAGTCCATGACATTTCACTAAATCATCAACTGACTCGCTACTTTTACCTAGTACCCCGTGTCTAACCTCAGAATTAAGTGAGGAATGCTTTGAAGGAATTTTTGATCAAATGCTAGTAACGTACTGATATCGTCTATTTACAAACCCTATGTCTCATAGGCATAAAATAGTTCAGGTTAAGCTGTTACTGAGTATTCTTTGCATTTTGTTTGGAGATGGACATCTCTCTCCAACTTCAAAGATGACTGTAATTGGCAAAGTCAACCGAATTTCCTGAATTTGTGCTGAATTTTCTGCAGGTATTAGTTCAACAATGCTGAAAGGATATGAATTACTCTCAGGTTAGTTATTTTATTAATCCCTATAAGTATTAAATTAGTGATGTTAGAAATGAAAGTTTGTTGTCGTAAAATAGTCTAACACTTTAATAATCAAATTTTCGTTCAAAGATGGTACATGATTTTCTATGATCTGTTTAAAATTTTACTATAATCATATCTAACAATTGTCTTATTATTATTAGTAGTAGTAGTAAGCAAATAATCAGATGTTGTTCTTCTCATTAAGAATAATACATATTCAGAGAATCAAAACAAAATAATCGATAAACAATCATCTTAAAATCCAAATTATTTCATCAATTTACCTTACCCTACTACAAACAATAAAATGTAATAAACATAATCATTTGCAATTATGGTATACAATGCACATAAAATTTAAATCATATAATTTAGTTGTTTAACACACAATGGTAACCTTTGAAATGTAAGCTTTGTACCACAAGTAGGTAGAGAAAAATAGAAGTAAAATATAAGAAATAGGCAGAGCATTTAAGAGGTTTATATTTTGAAATTAGAATTATTTATTTTTTATTTTTCAAGTTAAATACAGAAAATATATTACTAAATTAATCAATTATATAATCATCAGAAGGGGATTTTTTGTGGAGATTTAGTATTTTCATAGTTGAAGGCGTGAGTCAATTGAAGCTAGACCACCAGGGAAAATCTGGAAGCACTGGACGGCCGTTTCGTCCTATTGTGAGACTCCTCAGCAGTGCGCATCCACGATCTCGCCTTCGATGCCGGCTCAGTGGTCTATCGGTTAAGTGCTCTGGTGCGAGACTGGTAGGTCGTGGTTTAGAATCTCGCGAGGCGAGATCGTGGATGCGCACTGCTGATGAGTCCCACAACAGGACGAAATGGCCATCCAGTGCTTCCGGGTTTTCCTTGGTGGTCTGGCTTCAATTGACTCATAATTTCAACTATGAAAGTTATATAATCGTCTACATAAACTAGAACTAATCAAAATCTACCTAACCCAGCGATAATTTCATGCAGTTTTAATACTTTTTGACGAGGAAAGCAGCCATTATTTAAGTCCTATTCAAAAAACTGTAATCTTATTGTTTTCGTCGATATCATGAATTGTCATGATTTATCAGTAATTATGTACTGATTGATGTGAAGCAATAGTTCAAGTAGTTAATCGTGTTACTGGCATTATTACTCATGGATTATGTTGAATAAAGAGTATTTTATAGGACAAATTGAATGAAGTTAAGATTGTTTATCGGTAAGTTTGAGTTCTATAGTTTAGGGGTATCGTCCTCACTGAAACACTTTAAGATTTCAATGTTGGTTCAATGTGAAGTCACATTGAAGAACTGTTGAAAGGGTTATACGGTAGTATGAAATAGTTTTACAGTAACTTGAAGTTTCTAATAATCTAATTATTGACTAAAATTTACTTAAATAATTTATGTAAGTACCTTTCTCTCTCTTTCTCTCTCTCTCTCTCTCTATATATATATATATATATATATATATATATATATAAACGGTAACAAGTATAATCTTCATGATAAAATTGTACAAAACCATGTTCACCTTGTGTTCTTCGAGTTCCTAAGCTCACATATAAATAGTGCAATCGTTTAACCAATTCTATTCTTCGTTTTTCTGCAGCCATTCGAAGACGTCTTAAACGCTGTAGACGTTCTACATCATCATCTATATTTTAAAGTAAAAAGTGTTTTTATCAATTTCAAGTTAGGGGAAAAAACATGAACATTACATGGATTTTATAGCCATCAGTATTAAGATAATGAACAAGTTAAAGGAATGATGAAGACTTGTCCAGACTATGATACTGAGTGACAAAAACCAAATATGCCGGAAAAAGGAAAAATTCAATTTGAAAGTATTAAAAATAAATTCTTTGTATATTTCTTTTCAGATTTTATTCTATTAAAATGCCATTTGATCTAAATGTTAAATAGCTGTTCCCTTCAGTGTTGAGATGTATATAGAATATCTTTGTCAATATGTAGAATTAATTTATTTGACTGTACTTTTCATCTAGTATCGAGTAATTTAAGAAATTAGTTTCAAGGAGAAAACAAATGATCTGATTTAATTATTTATCCTAAATTCGTACAAAAGCAGAACAAGGATATTGATTTTTCTATATATAGTTAACAAACATTTTGACTTAATCGACTATATTTTTCTGGTGGTATTGATGAAGAACAGCTGCAAGCTTTAGTCGATTTGTAATATTTCATTGGTAGTCTATTTATTGAACATGATATTTGACATTTGGATGATCACTGTGCATATTTGTTCTCATATATAAAATATTTTCATTATATCATTTAAATTATAAGGAAAGATGTAACAAACTAAGGAACCTGTTCACATAAAATTATAGTACTTCTTGGCATTGCCTACCTGCTGCCTCAATAGGGATTAAAATCACGACCTTCAGGTCTCACATTGATTTCTTAAACTTCAGACTAATGAGTTAGGATCCAGTGACTTATATATCTTAGTTCAATAAGTTGACGGTATTTCAACACCACCATCTGTTGCTATTGGTGATAGTTATCTAGACCCGTGCCATTATTGAACTCTGTCAGTTTTCATTGGTATCAATCCATGGAGGAAATCACTTACAAAAATGAATTTTTGTTACTTGATATTTTCCTAGTCTGTAATGAATATTCGAATATTGGATATTCATTAGTAATCTAATGGTTTTCAGTATTCTTAGTTATTTACTCTTTCAATAAATTTGATAGGATCTAGAAAAGTGCCAAGTAATATTTTGCCCTTTTATCTGTGATAATTAACTATTTCCACACTGTCATATTATATATGAATCTATGATAAAGTGATAGGTTGAATACTGTTGAAAAATGTATCAAATGAGAACGATGTTATTTTCCAATCTAAGACTTTATTAATAAAACATTTTCGTTAAATAATAATTGAGTTTAGATACTGTGAAACATTAAAATAACTATACAAATAGTATAAATGATATATTTGTAATATCCCAATGAGTACCATTTAAACTTGGATTAGTTTTAATTTGGTTATTTATTCCCTGAAGAAGTGGCTTACACTAAGTCACGAAACGTCAGAAAATCTCATTTTTCTACTCATTAGGATATTATAAATATATTATTTAATTATAATAATCTACCCAATGTTCAATTTATTCGAATATAAATTGAACCAAATCAAAACGTGGCATCAAAGCTTGAAGTCACTAACTTCTAGTCTGAGCCATGTTGGTAGATGCAGACTACTTGGTTGGGGTCTGTGTGACTAACGTAACCAATGGTTGGGGACTGTAGGTGACATGGCTCAGAATCGATCACAATGGCGTAGGTGTATACACTCTTTATCTTCCCTTAAATCTTGAGATTAAAATTGCTTCATAACTTTTTTCCTTCCTATACTATATCCTTATATACAACCTTTCTTTCATATAGTACCACCACTAAATTAACTACTTCTATGAATTCGGTGTTCATCTTGTTGTGCTAACGAGGTATGACAACATGGACCGATGCATATATATGCCTGGTCCTACGTTGTAGCTAACTGACTGACTGACAATTTATTTGAAATTATCAATTTAAAACTTGGTAATATATATATATATATATATATATATATATATATATATATGCTTAACTTTATGCATAGAATATTCCAATTCAGTTATATTATTCATGCTATCTACTAAAGTACTATATATATTTTAGAATAAAATCAATATGTAACAATGTAAACTTCCTTTTTACATTCCAAATATGTTCTATTATGTTACATGTGTATTTGTTTTAAGCTATGTATACATATGTTGAATTAACTTTTAATTATACTGTTTATAGTACACTATATTTCAAAAAAATTTCTTTTTCGTAAAGGTACTTAGTTTTCGCCGTTGAAATCACGAACTTATTAGAAAAAGACCATCATTAAAAACCTGGCAGTACTGTAAGGTCGTTTCTTTATAGTATATGACTCCTCAACAAACTGTATCCACAGCTCCACATGCAAGGATAGAACCCAGAACCTTCGATTTTACTCGCGAACGCTTGACATTTTCCATTGTAGTCTACTACGGTATACTTTGTGATTTCAACTGTGAAAATGCTACTATCTCCATAAGTTCCCTATACTAAGACAATTAATTCATAAATGATCTTTCCTATAATATCATTTGATTCGCTTAGTACAACTTCTAGAACAATTCGCATTTCATTTCACCCGAATGTTCAAGTCGAAATTAATCCCTAGATCGACTTTGAGAATAGGAGTATTAGATTTTAGACAGTGTTCAACAGTGCGATTCGAGAAACCATCCTATACCCAATGTCTCTAAAAGAACCTAATACGCATTTAGATTCTACTGGTAGCCACGAGCAAAATATAACAAACCTGTAGTTAAGGCATACCTAGGGATTTTCGCAATTAGCTAGCAAACAGTTGCAAATCAGTAAATTTATATTATTTATTATGTACTCAACACTTCAGTTATTTGTCATAAAAAGCTTGCCATATATTTAAGCTTATTAATAATGGCGTATGGGTGACTGAGATACTTTTGGATGTAACTCAATTACCAAGTAAGAGTCTACACAGTTCACTTTGATTCAGAATATTTGTACGAAAAATATTCATACTGCTCAGTTGTTTTAACTAATTGTGAACTAATGTTAATCTTTAACCCCTAGCATACCTTTTTTATTGATTGAGGTACTGAACGAGATAAGTTCTCTTCTTAAGTTTGACGTATGTTTCTTGTGATACGCAAATAAGGTAAGTACTACTTGATTAATTATATACAAAAAATCGGAAATAACATATTCCTTAAGACTATTATCAAAATTATTTTGATCAGCTAGAAACTGTTAAATCAGTTGTGATAACTCTTTGAAACTAGAATAAATATTAATGATAAAGTTTTAAAATGATTTCTAAAAGCTTTTTTAGAATATTGAGTAGTAATTATCACTGAAATCACTAGAATCCCGGGAAAATCCTTGTTTAAGATGCCTTATGATGAACGTAAATAAACATGGGAGCCTTCGACTTTATAGTGATTATTATATCATAATACCGTCTAAATAAAACAGAATGTCCCGCATTTTTAAATTCACTTCTTTCACAAAATATAGTGGTCCTAATTGGTCATCACTTGTGTAAGGTCATAATTTCAATCCTAAAGAGACATTCTTAGTTTCTTATTGTTCAGAAATCTCAAATTAGAACAAAATAACTTTTTAGTATCTATTGCTTTCCTATAGCTCTCAATTTCTTGTAAGTTCATGATGAAACCTTACATCAGTAAACCATTATTTCAACAGTGACCATCTATTAATATTCTACTGTGGCAATATAATGTAGACAGACATACATAAACACAATGAGATGTAGAATCATGCATGTTAGTTGACTAGGTAAACTTATCAAAAAACTAGGACAACTACCAACGTTCCTATGCATACACTTATGTAATTCAATAAATCATCTTCACACATTTATGCTATTAGATCTGTATTGTATATGATGAATTATAAACATAATACCTAGAAATGAATATTGTGCATAATAAACTTGATCGGAAGAAGTTAACCGATATCAAGGTTCAACAATATGACACCGATTACTAACTAGATACCTACTAGTGTCGGTATAACGCATCCCATCTTGACAGACGAAAAAACTATTGATATGATTGATTTGTTTGTTTTCATACATGTTCAAGAATGTAACAATAAGATACCGTATTCTTTGTATCTCTAACTAATGATAATAGCATAGCCTTTTTCTATTTTTACTCTGTATGTGTATAGAAAAAACAACATTACATTCTGTTGTTTATGTTTCATTTTGACTAATCTATCTGTCAGAAGGTCTTGTTATTAACAATATTGGTTATTTCATAATAATGTTAGTTAGTTTCTTCTCCTAATTAGGTTTTTGTTTTAATGTGCTTGTTCTCTTGTCAGTTCCATAGAACAGACCCTTTATATATATATATATATATATATATATATATATATATATATATATATATATATATATAGAGAGAGAGAGAGAGAGAGAGAGAAACCCTACAATCGATTATTCAAATCATCATAAATAATTACTAAGAAGAAAAATCAATAAAAGTTATCTTGAAAACAAACTTCTGTTCTCAGTAATATGATTAAAAAAAATCGATTTTGATATACATTGTAAATGTACTAATGTTTATTTAATGTTATCTCTCTCTCTCACCATAATAATTTAGCTATGTATATGTATCAATGTATGAAACTTGTATTAATCAAGCCTCTTCCAATATTATTCGCAATAGATCTAATTATACTAACCAATTATCTATATTTTTTTAATAATTGAACTTCGGCTTAACTCGTAAAGCATATCAAAGGATAAGTATCGTAAATTAATGATGAACATTCATAACTAGTGGGGTTCGACCTTGTTAAAAGTGAAGCAGAAATCACTGATCATGATGAATGTACGTAACGGGATATCACAAGTTGATCGTAATATGTAATGTGGGCAATTAGTTTTTGAACTCTTCGAGTGTTTAAGAGCCGTCATCTACTGCTAAGCCCATATATGTATATATAATAGTAGGACAGATCTTTGAGTATGACAATCATAACAGTTCACAGAGAAGTATAAAAACTCCAAGGATGATG